CTTATGTGGAGCCTGACTGCCACTACAACCGCTGTCAATATTTTGTTTTGACAACTATTGTTAACAAATCACTACCGCAGCAGCAATATACGTATATAAAAACAGCGGGTTTTGTTTTCTTCTTTTTAGGAAACCGCGTTAACAATAGGGCAAGTACTCTTGTACGTAAATAATAAGATTATGATCCATTGAGTTATTTGTACTTATAAAATATTATGAATTCCAATCGATTGTTTTAGAATATTTGAATTTAATTTTTCATTTTCGTAATGATGGTAATTCAAATTATCATGATAATAATTTTTTTTTCAATTGCCAACTTACTAATTTGTGACTGCTTAATCATTAATATTAGATAGAAGGATTCTATTTATGAAAAAAAATGTTACATTTATATTGTTTATCAACACGTTAACGTTATTACTAACATAACACATTAAGAGTTTTATACAACGAGTGGCATACTTGAGTTGTAATTATTTTATCTAATAGTTAATTGTAACTATTAACAAAATCAATTTTTAATTAGTTAGTTAGTAAGTTAGGTTAGTTAGTAGTTGGCTTTTTCTTCTCACTTGTCAGCAGAGTGTGTGTGTGTGTGTATATATATAACAGTAAGAGAGAGAAATGGTGTAACATAAATATATCAAACTAGAGAATTCTAAGTTTGCTTCTTTTTTTTTTTTTTTTTCTTATCTTAGTAGAGTGTGTGTATATATATAACAGTAAGAGAGAGAAAGGGTATAACATAAATATATCAAACTAAAGAATTCTAAGTTTGCTTCTTCTCTAATTTTTTTTTCTTATCTTTATATTCAAGCATGGTATCAAACCTTGGTTATTAGGGTTTATACCAAAATTTTCTTTAACATTAGAGTTTGTCAATGATAGGTCTATCTCAAAATTCCTTAGTTGAAGATTCACAATGTCCGTACTTTCTTTATTATTTAGATAATTATAGCACTATGGTTGTTGTTTTTTAGCTCTTTTAATCCGTAATAAAGCCGATTTGTTAATAGTTACAACTAACCACCAAATGAAATAATGTCAACTCAAGTATGCCTCGTGTGGTATAAAACTCTTAATACTCCATCTCAAGAGGAGCATAAATATCTTCGATGCTCATCTTGTTTAAAAGAAAACAAAACTCGGATAGGCTACAAAGCTTTGGTAAACAAGTTTGCAACTTGCAAATGGGAAGGCACGAACTTAAGTATGATAATGTGAACTAGAACTCTCTTCCTAATGAAGTGATAATCAATTTTAATGTGTTTTTTCTTTTAATAAAAAATAGGATTCCCGCTAATATGAATAGCATATTAATTGTCACAATGCAACACCCCAAGCATCCTTATGAACAAAACCTAAGTCTCGTCGACAAAGATAGTAGCCAAACCAATTCATAGCAATTGGAAGCCATAGAACCGTACTCTACTTCAATTGAGCTTATAGCCACCAAGGATTGTTTCTTAGATTTTCAGTCGACAAGAGAGGAACAAAAAAAAAAAAAACAAGTAACAAATGATAGATCTTTGAGAATCTTTATAACCAACCTAATCACTATTTGTGTAAGCTTTTAGCCGCACCTCAAAATTGATTGAAAACAAAATACCTTGCCGTAGTACTTGTTTTAAGTACCTCGTAACCCTAAAAGCGACTTGTAAATGTATCTCCGTAGGTTTATCCATAAATTGAGATAACGCTTAAATAGCAAAGCAAATGTAAGGTCTTGTGAAGGTCAAATACCATAGCTTGCCCACCAACTACCTATAGAAAGTAGGATCTTTTAGAAACCTAGAACTAGCCTAAACAAGTTTGACATTAGAATCCATTGGAGTAGAGGTCGGCTTAACCCCTAACAAACCATGTTCCGTTAACAAATCCAAAACATATTTGCATTGACACAAAGATATCCCTTTGTGAGACTTAGCAACCTCGATTCCAAGAAAGAATTTCAACTTACCAAGGTCCTTCATATTGAATTGAGAATGAAGAAACTTCTTGAAATCTTTAATAATTTATGCTGAATTACTTGTAATGATAATATTATCCACATATACAAATAAAGCAAGAAAATCACCCGAAGTAATCCTTTTAGTAAACAAAGAAAAGTCAACCTTGGATTGTAGAAAACCAAAAGACAATAGAGAGGTAGTGAGTTTAGAATTCCATTGTCAAGATGCTTGTTTTAATCCATACAAAGACTTCGCAACTTGCAAACTAGCTTAGTATAAGCAAGAAACCCCCTTCGAACTTGTTACCCTCGAGGAAGATCCACGTACACTATCTCATTCAAGTCATCATTAAGAAAAACTTTATTCACATCCACTCGGGATAAATGCTAATGCTAAGAAGCTGCAAGAGCCATGAACAATTTCACGATTCTTTGTTTAACAACTAGACTAAAAGTCTCTTGATAATCAAAATCTTTTATTTGACTATATCCCTCAGCCACCAATCTTGCATTGTACCTATCAATATTGCCATCAACATTAACTTTTACTTTAAACGTCTATTTACATCCTACAACTTTGTGTCCAATAAGAAGAGGTATAACTATCCAAGTATAATTTTCTTCAAAGATATCAAGTTCGAGCTTTCATGGTCGCTTGCTAGTGCTTAGAATAAATAGCTTAAATATATGATCGAGGCTCAACAATAGCGTAAAGAGAAGTGACAAAAGATGCATGTGAAGTAGATAAATGTGATGTGGAATTGTATTGGTGAGTAAGATATTGTGTAGAATAAGCGAGAAGAATGTTTGATAGGTAACTCTGTTTGATATACCGGCAATTAATTTAGACGGTTATTGATTCTAGAACTCTTTCTAAAAGGAATAGACGATTCTAAGGAAGAAGATGGAGTGTTTGAAACCGGTAAAGCGAAAAAGAAGCATCAGCTGACAAAGTTTCATGTGAAATTGGTAAGGCCATAGTAAATGGACTAGAACTAGATATAGGAGTAGCATCGGCTAAAGAATGAATAGGTGAAAGCAAATTGTTGTTATTCACAGGAGAATTGACAAAGTCAGTAGAAGAATATAGGAGAATTGACAAAGTCAACAGAAGAATTAGAGAAAACAAGAAGAATAGAATTTAAAATATAAGGAAGAACAATATTATGAATGGTAGAAGTAGAAAGAGGTTTAGTACAAGAGAAATGCAATCAGAATTGCAAATTTCGTACCTAAATTTATGTTTTTTCCTTCCCTTTCCCGAGTTAAGAGTATCCTCCACTAGTTAATTTTTTTATAAAAAAAAGTCAACCCTAAAATTATAAATTTTTTTTTTAATTGTCACAGCCACTTAGGTCTGTTCTTTTCTTTTCTATTATGATGTATGCTAGAAATTATATAAGGAATTATTCAAAATATCAAGAATTTTTTTATGTCTTTTTACATAAAGATAATAGATAAGAATAATTTTTGTAGTAGATCTATATTTATATAAGAGAGAGGAATATAATTCCTAATATACCTAATACTTTTTCAAATTTATAATCATTCTCATATAAACACGAAACTTGTCATAAATATTCTTCATAAGTACACATTTTACAAGATAGAGAAGAATACGATTCTAATATACTGAATAATTCTTATTTTGAAAAATATAAAAACTCTCTATCAAATCATGATTTTGTCTATTTGATGTACCTAAATTTGGCAAACTAAAGTAAACTCTTTTTCTGCACCAAAGAACTATCATTATTTATTGTATAGATTCATTTGAAAAAAATAGATATATACGAAAAGAAAAGAAAAATTATATTTGAATTCATTAAAAATAATAAAAATATTTTTATTTAAATTTAATATTTTTCTTTATTTTTCCTACTTCTCTCCTTTTTATTGTCTCAATTTCTTTTTTTTTTTATAAAATAAGTATTAACAAATTTTTTATTTCTCTTTTATAAAATAAATACTGACAGTACTCTTTTGAGTATCGTATTCTACTGGCAATTTCTACGTCTTCTTTCCTATTTTTTTTTCTTTTTTCATTTAATCTGCTTTCTCGGTCTTAGATCCAGAGTTTTATCGGAATCTTTCTAGATTGGATGCAGATAAATCTGTTTGTAAACGAGTCAGATTTTTTTATTTTTTTATAAGCATGAAACGAGCAGGGTAAAAAAAAAAAAAAAATTCCACTAAACTCCTATAAAGCAAAATTTTTTGGACACCTAAAAGAGCGATTTTCTCCAACGTTGATATCGTGCGGGCTATCGGCTCTTTTTTATTTTTTATTTTTTGCTTCTATGAACGGATAGTGTTAATTTGGGACTTTGAATTGGTTTGTGATATCAAGAGATTATAACAATTTGAATTCTTTTCTTTATTTAATTAAGATAATATTTTATGAAGAGATTGATGGGTTTTAACTCCTTGTGTTTATGTATTTGATTCGTAATTCTAAAGAAGATGATGGGTTGGGGAAGATGCTGTTAGTTGCAGAGTTTGTTTACTTTATGATGCATTAAAGCGGGATGAAAGAAAGCGGGAGAAAAAACGGAAATGGATTGGTTACTTGTATATATCCATTCATTTAAAGGTTATTTTTAACATAATATTAATCATTTAAAATTGATTTTTTTAATATAATTTTATTCTAAAAAATCATAAAAAAAATTAAATTAAAAGCTCACTTAGTATTAAAAAAAAAACACAAACTCGCTTAATATAATTTATTTTAATTTATAAGAGCACACTAAGCCATCTCTCCCATAAATTTATGTACAAAAAGAATTAATAAGAAGAAATAAAAAAGAAAATTAAAACGTGTGGTTTCAGCTCCCACGTGATTTAACCGATTTTCGTTGTCTTTTGAGAACATGAACAAGTAAGTGGTAAGTAGCTCAAGAGAGGAGATAAGAGGAAGAGAAGTGGCCCAGTGAAGGTACCTTCTTCTTCCACTATATAAGAAGAGCAGGGCAAAGCATATTATGCAAATCAACTGGCTAGCTAGGAATACAGAGTCATACAGATACAGCAAGAGAGAAACAACATGTCGTCAGCAAAACCAAAGGCAGTGAAGCACACCCTATTTGTGAAGTTCAAAGATGATGTCACCAAAGAGCAAATTATGAAAATCGTAAATGACTTCACTCATCTGGTCATTACAGTTAAAGCCTTGAAGAGTTTACACTGGTATTTAACTTTAATCACTATGATCAATACTCTTTTTATCCACAACTACTACACTAATCCTCCTCTTAACACGCAAAACACACACACATATCGATGAAGGGCCAAATTAAAAGTTTGTGGGTTTCCCTTGCTATTTTATTATGATAACCTTTATCTTCATCTTAAATTTGAAAGTAATTTTTACATATTAAGCATAATTTATTTATATTTTATTTTCATATTACCGTTCAAATTAATAGACATTCATCTTATCAATGTTTTAAACAGATTTTTTTTGTATCTGTTGTATTAAGTTATTAATAATTGTTTTCATTGAGCTCGGTTTTATTTTCTTAAATACACAATCAAAATCAAATAATAAAGAGAGCAGAATATTTGGAATCAAATTAAGATTGATAAAAAAATTGTTTGGAAAGAAATAGAAAAAAATTGAAGGATACAAAGCAATAGTGGAATATAATGAGCTTGTAAACATAAACAGAACTATAAACTGCATAAATAAACAAGTAAACCAACCGCTAATCATTTAAGGTTGTCTAATTATCTCCCAATTAATACATTTCTTAGGTCATTAGATAACAAAAAAAATTATCTTGATATCACCCTCCAACAAAACTCATTTACAACAATCAAATTTTATACTAATATTTTTATTGTCTTAATGTTCTGATATAGGGGCACTAATCTGGGTATTCACAACCTCAATTACGGTTACACTCATGCTTTTGAAACTACATTTGATGATTTGGAGGGCTTGCAAGAGTATCTTGATTCTCCACTTGTTAATGAATTCGCAGAAGGATTTTTGCCTACTATGGAGCAACAATTTGTGATGGACTATGAACTATACTAAATTTCTGGGGCAAAGGACATCTATTACCTTGGTATCTTTGTGTTGGATTGAAAGAATACTGAAGAAAACTTCCTGCTATGTAATATACAATAATTGGTGGTGTTAACCTCCAAATGCGTGTCAATAAATCTAATTTGTAATATGCAATTTATTTTACGATGCATGTACGTACCAGGAAATTCTTCCATCTTGTTGAACTACACTTAAAAATTAATTATGGTTAATTTGTTTAAGAGCTTTTGTGAAAAAGGGTTCCCAATGAATGAGAGGTGCTTATATAGGAGGAGTACAACTACATATTACAGAGAGTAAAGTAATAAGCCTATGTATACACGGAAATACATTCAGGACTTTTGAAAGACGTGCCAAACAAGGCCATTAAGGAAAGAGTATAGGCAGAGATCAACTTAGCATAAATACACAATGAGCAGTGGTTTGGGTAAATTTCACAGATTTACCTGTGGATTTTTACCACCGTGAAGGTAATATGATCGGTAATACTGTAAAAATTGGTTATAGATAATTTTTTGGATTTGAGGCAAAGCCTCGCAAGGGATCTTCCCATGCATACTTCCGGTGCAAAATTAGGCTACTTCAGTCGATACTAATCAGGTTGAGATTAATTAGAAGAAAGCCTAAGTGGGCCGAGCCCAATCTTGTAAAAAATCCAGCAATGGTAACCTCATGGAGGTCCAAATCCAATGTGTCCAGGCCGAGGCAAATACCTTGCCCAAGTCGAAGGCTAGTTGTTATGTGTCCCTGTTTAGTGCTAAACCATTTATATCTACTGTCAATGAGAAGCATGTTATTGTTGATACTTAAGTAGGGAATTTGCCCTCTCAGGTTCAAGTCGACGCTAATATGGAATCTCTCAGTGTCTCAAAAGAGGAAGATGATGATGTTTTAATGGAGGAAGAGGATGGTTTGTAGAGATACAATATAATACAGGCAGTACCTCCTGACACTGTAATGGAGTATAATAAATCCTCGGGTAAATCTTCCATCTTTAAAAAAAGGACCGCGTGTAAGGTTGCTACTTGCCTGTGTAGCCAGAGTGAGGGTGAAAAGTTTAAGCAGCCCACGTTCTTCCAATGGGAAAACCAGACAAAGTTCTGTGTGCATTCAGAATGGGCTCCAGATTTGGAACTTGTTTATTCGTTGGGAGCCCACAATCACATGGGTTTTTGGGGCTCGCATTGCCGCATTGGTGGTTGCAAAAATGTTAAAACAAAAAGAAAAATTGGAAAAGAAGCAACAATCAAAAGTAGTGGTTGTTGGAAAGTTGACTGATTGTTGAGTCCATTAACTCCCTATATAAGTCATTAAAGAAAACAGGAAAGAGGCAAACACAAGCCGAGAGAAGAGAGGGAGAGAGTTAAGATAAGAGATATGGAGCAAGTACAGGGAGTGGTAAAGCACTTAGTTCTAGCCAAGTTCAAAGATGAAGTCACAGAAGAAGAAATTGAGAAACACATAAAGGACTATGCCAATCTGCTTAACCACATCGAACACCTGAAGTCTTTCCAGTGGTAAGTACCTTGAGCCTTCATTTAAATTTATCTACTCTTTTTCCATAGTTTCGCACTTGATTAGCTAGAATTAAATGCTTTTGTTTTTTTCTTTTTCCTGTGCTTTCGGTGCGTGGATGCTTTCTTGTTTTGTAACTCATTTTAGAAATCCTAGAGAAAGATTTCAATTAGTGACCAGAAGTATCATCTAATTCAAATTTAATCGGAGGAAAGGGAATAATAACTATCGCCTACTAAAAGTCTTCGATGGTGTTAGCATTTTTGTATATTTATATTGTGATTGTTCATTTAAATTTATTAACTACTGTGCATGTATTTATTATTCGATAATGATCAGTTGTAGTTGCGTGATGCTTGAAAACAGACAAGATTATTATAAAAAAAACTAGAAGATTTGGGATGGTTGATGTCAACTTTATGGTGTTAGCATTTTTGTATATTTATATTATGATTGTTCATTTAAATTTATTAACAACTGTGCATGTATTTATTATTGGATCATGATGATCGGTTGTGGTTGCGTGATGCTTAAAAAATATGCAAGATTATTAAAAAAAAAAAAATTGGGATGGGTTACTGTCGACTTTATGATGTTAGCATTTTTATATATTTATATTATAATTGCTCATTTAAATTTATTAACTACGGTGCATGTATTTATTATTATATTCACGATCAGTTGTGGTTGCGTGATGCTTGAGAACACACAAGATTATTATATATATATATATATAAAAAAAAACTAAAAGATTTGGGATGGGTTATTGTCGAGTACTTTATAGTGTTAGCATTTTTATATAATTATATTATAATTGTTCATTTAAATTTATTAACTACTGTGCATGTATTTATTATTGGATCATGATCAGTCATGGTTGCGTGATGCTTGAAAAATATGCAAGATTATTATATATAAAAATGGAATGGATTACTATTTATAGCATTATTCATTCATTATCATGTGTATTATTCTTTTTCACTGTGAAATAATTTTTTTTTTGAATATTTATATGCAAATTTAAGATTATATTTTATTTTAATCCCTGCTACTTCTAAAAATATTTTTGATCTCTAGATGATCAATCGATTATGCTTGCCATATGCAAATTTGATATTGTATTTTATTTTAATCCTTAATATTTGTAAAAGATATTTTTGGTCCCTAGGTGATCAAACACTTATGCTTGCCTTTGTTTTTTTGTTTTTTGGCCTTTTTTCTAACAATTTATTTTACTTTTTTTACTATTGAATTGGGTGCTTTTTTATGTAATTATATTTATTAATAAACATAATTTATTTTTCTCAATATATTGATTTTTGAATAAGTTTTTTAAAAATAAATAATAAATTAAAAATAAAATTTACGTATTTTATTTTCTTATTCTTTATATAATAAAAATTTATCAGAATCAATTTTATAATTATTGTTATTGTAATATATTAACTTCAATATATTTCTTATAATTTAATTTTTTAAGTATTTTTTATTTACATTGCACACTCTAATCCACTCATGATTTCTATTAAAAAAATAAGATCATTGTTTTTATTAGAAATTAATTATGTATTTACACACATAACATCAAACATTTGCTATTATTTTTTATTATTCTAAAATTAAATAAAATATTTAAAATAATATTTTAGAAGAATCACCGGACAATTCAAATATAATATATATATATATATATTAAATGTGCATATTTTTTAAAGATTAATCTTCTCATCAACATATTTTTTATAAGTTTTTATATTAATTTTTTTTAATTTTTTCGATGTAATCTTATGAAAAAAAATATTAAAATATTTTTAAATTTTATAATGACTTTTTTATTTAGATTTTTATAGATTTTTATTTAAAAATGAATGCATAAGAAAGAACAAATCGTATTTTTTTTATAAAATTTATAAAAAACATAAAAAAAAATTAGATACAAACTTTTGATTAAAAATTATGAAATTAATTTTAAATATTAAAAAAATTAATAGTAAATGGTTTGTGTTATATATATATATATATATAATCATGGACATACTTAATGGGTCAAAGTATGAAGCATGACTTAAAATATATTGAAAAAAAAAACTTAAATTATAATGAATATATTGAGGTTAGTAAAGTGTAACAAAATTGATTTTGATATGTTTTGATTATATAAAAATAAGCAAATAAAACATGTCAATCCTAATTTTTAAAGATTATTTATTTAAAAAAATTATCCAAAAATATTTATATAGAGTAAATAAATCGTATTTATTAAAAAAATAAATTTCATAAAAAAATAATAAAAAAAATATTTGATGAGAATTTTTATAAGAAATAATAATTAAAAAGATCAATTTTAAACAATAAACATTATGTTTTTTAACTACGAAATTTTTGTTAAACATAAAAAATTAAATATAATATTTTGATTAAAAATTATAAAATTAGATGAGTTTTATTTATTTTTAATCTTATATATTTTAATTAATCAATAGTATAGTGTGCCGTTGAAAGTCAATTAGTGTATATTTACTTATTCCTAGTGTTCTGGATTCATCCTTTCATTTCTTTTGCGAAATGTGGGCCCAGCAGGAGAGAGATTGTAGACTTTCTCCTCGTAATTTAAGGATCTTATCTCTCTCTACATTAAAATACACATGGAACACTAAAAGTTTCTTTTGAAAAAAAAAAAAAAAAAAATCTAAAACAAAAAAAGAAAGAAAAACAACGGTATCGAATTCTATTCTACAAAAAATAATTAAGTTTTCGTTATATCGAACATAACGGAGACAATACCATGTACGTTGCATACATGTAGGTTTTTCTTTTAATTTTTGTTTAAACTTTTAAGTTCTATTGTACCCAAAAAAAAATTTCATTAACTAGTCCATAGCTAGCTGGATTATATATGCATGCAATATAATATGATATTGTCTTTATTTATTGTGCCCTAGCCAGGATGAATTCTAACAAGTTTCTACAATTTTGACATGATAGGGGGACAGACGTGAGCATTGAGAACCTTCATCAAGGTTTCACTCATATCTTCGAATGTACCTTTGAGAATTTAGAGGGCCGATCAGCATTTGTATGTCATCCTGCTCATGTTGATTTTGCAACTGCTTTCCTGCGTATCTTGGAGAAAGTCGTCCTGGTCGATTTCGTTCCCACCGTCGTTAAACTCTAAAATTATTCGGGATACTACGCTTTCTGCTCTGTTGCTTCCTAGCTTTTATAGGGAACAATAATTTGTACGGTTTCCAATAAACGGAGGCATGTGTTGAAACTCCAACTGTTTGTGTGTATTTTCGTTCTTAATTTAAAATGGCATCGCCATTAGGGACTTCTGATCTGAAATAAGAGGTTAATTAGAATTTATATTATTAGATTATATGAATCGTCGTGCTTTCGGTTGTGCTAGAATGATAATATAAAATATCGTGAAATTCGTTCTGGTTTTGCCATTTATTTTCTTGTCTCGTCTTAATATTGTGAAATTAATTGACCTTTCATCATGTACATGAGTGTGTATCTGTATGCATATGTGCCCGTATGTGTGGAAAAAGGAAGAAAAGAAAACTAAGGAAATAAATTAGGTGAAGATATAAAACATAATTAATAATTGAGGGTGGCATAAAAAGAATGATAAACAAACAGAAGAATATAATAAAATTGTCGAGAAGGATAACACGAAGAGATACAAGAAATAATGAAACCAATACAAAATAATGAGCGTTACTGAGAAAGGGAAAAAAGTCTAAATTTCAAATAAGCAAACATAACTTGATGTGAGAAGCAGAAAATAAGAGAAAGGCCTAGAATCAAAGCTCCATGGAAGTAGATAATTAGATAGTTATTAGTTTGTATCTCACGCTACGCTGCTGATAATACAGAATACATATAATCAAATGAAAAACTCATTTTAGTTTAACAACCCACGCTATGCTGCGAGCATACTAAAAATATTAAATCGAAGATAAAAAAATTCATACGATCATTTTTTTTGTGTTTAATCAACTCTTCCTCATCTTATCGAGCTTGCAAATTTTTCCATTAAAGTCTTTTTCTTTATTGCCAGTGTTGTACACAATATATATATATATATATATATATATTCTGCACGTACATATATTACAAAACAGAAAGCAGAATGTTTATGAAAGGGTAGCTCATCACTGTATGTTTTCTTCAAGGATTTGAGATCCATCAACAACTCAGACGAAGTGAGCATTGGTAAAGATACTCCAACAATTATTGAAAAATAATTGTTACATATAGCTAGCAAAAACATAATAATTCAGTAGAGTTTTCTTTAAGATTTTGGCACACCAGGATTGGAAGTGGACAACTTTGATAAGCCTGCAGAAGCTGAGTTCCAGGAACCAAAAAATAAAAATAAGATAGATTTTGTTTAAGGAATCAAGATAATATTTGATGGAATATGTTTATTTGTAAATCAGAATTTAAAAGCAAATGTCACATACTCATCAGAATTTTAAGGGATGGCTTGGTTTTTAGAGAAGCCGCAATAGCATCATCAGTAGATTGTGCATTGAAAGACTCCATTCATTCTTGTTTGTCGGTGTCAACGGATATGTAGTGTGTAAAGCAAAAAGCTATTCTCGCTGTCAAGCAGTAAAAAAGCAACAAAGTGATTAGTTCTATCTATTACTTCTTCAAAGCTGCTGCAAGTTTGAGGCAAAAAGAGAACGGTTATACTTCTCTTGCTCTTGTCTTTTTGACGTCTCAATTCTCTTTTTTGCAACAACTGATGATCCAGAAACTGATATGATTAGCTGTTGGCAGCAATGGACTCTCTACAGCTGATCGAGATGACAAGCCATTCTTTTGCTCGAGGAGTAGGGGCAGTTTCTATGACGGAGCTTATGCCAAAAGAACTATCTATATTCTTAGCTGCTGAAGTTGGAAGCTGCAGCTCAATAGGTAGAATTTGAGGAACGGGAAAAACTTGATGATCACTAAACACATTGGAATTCAAGATGTCACAATGATTGTTTGGTCGAAAAGTCCTATATCGAATCTGTAAAATTCTGGTTAGCCTTAGCATGTCAAACAGCATAGGCAGCAGCTCACACAGATTTCCATAACCACCTCTAAGAACCAGAGTGGCAAGGGTGCATTAAAAACATCTAATCTCTTCCGCCAATAAGTGGAAAGCTGTTGTGTCCAGTGGTATCTTCAAAAATGCAAATATTGTTATGCATGCATGAGGCCAAAATATTGCAACGCAAAAGATTCATTGCTACGGATGAATAAAGTAAAAAGGTCGTACAAAATGTAAAGAAATGCACAGGAACACCAGCTAATTTAATCACTCAAAATGCTAAAAAGAGAGGCAAAAACGCATGCAGCGGCTGTCGAGCATCCATAACAGGGCAATATGTATTTAAACTATTTGATAATTATATAATTCCAAAAGCAATAGACATGATTGGCATGGAAAAAAATTTAAAAAACTGATTCTAGAAATAACAAACCAAAAATATTTTCACGGCCAATTGTAGAGAACAAAAGAGAGAGAGAGAAAAGAAGACAAATCTTAGCTCGTCGAAACTTAAGGTTTCAAAAAATAATTGAGATATTAGAGTCTAACTTCTTCCGTCAAATATATATATATATATATATATATAACAAATTAACACTATAAGTTCAAGCTTGGACGAAGAAACCTTTGAAGGCTAGAAGTGGTGCAACACTATGTGCAAATATAACATTTCACTTGCAGCATTCTTTGAAAAAAGTGGATCAAACTCACATATTCTTTGAAATTTAGATTGTTAATCAACTAAAATGTTATAACATTTTATTTGAAGACCAAAAACTCAATTTCCAATCTCAAAAAAAAAAAAAAGAAAAAAGAAAAAGAAAGAATAATACCATAGCAATAATTCTAGTTTTAAAAATGGCAACCCCTCCTCTGCAACCATCTCTATAAGCAATTTCCATCACGACTACCGTAAAAAACTACACATATAAATCATATGTCACAAAAATTAGTGTTTGAAAAAAATTAATGCAAATAAACTATTTTGAGGTTTTAAAATGCTCAATAATGTCTATTTATTAAAGAGTTTGATATTAAAATTCAATGTAAAAATACATCAAATCGACTAAACTTTCACTATCTTTAACCTATAGACCTGTGATTATTGACCAAAAACTTCATTAATTCATAGCTCTCTCATTTCACAACAACTCGCAAAAAATACACAAAGTTGAAACAAAAAAGATCATAGATCAACATAAAAATTTAGATGGAAAAAATCTTAATATATAAAGTTAAAGCTTTACATATGAACTTTAGGAATTCTTACATCAATTTTGTGTAAACAAAGGCAAAAGAGAGATGGAAAAAAAATTAAATTAAAAAAAATCCTTACCAAGATCAAACTAAACTTTTGAGTTGCATTGAGAACATAAATGTATCATAATAAGGTTTTAAGCATCATGTTCACTCGTAAGTGAGGAGAAAAAAGTAAATCAGCCACGGTAATGGATTCATTGACCTTAAATATTTGATAAACTCATAATCAAATAACATATTTAAATCCCATAAACATATCAAAGTAGCCCAAAAACGAAAAATAATATGTAATAAGTGTAACCGGAATGAAAAATCAAGAAAATTAAAACAAATTTAATTACCATGATTTTAATTTTCTAACAATTTGATGTTTCATCCCTCTTCTACCTCCATCAACCTCTCTTCACATAAAATTGATTTAAGGGCTCCTTCTCTCTATGTTTAGGTCTTAGATCTCTCACATACCGTTGATTAATTTTTTTCCCTTACACAATCTCGCCTCTTCCTCTCTCTCTCTAACTATAAATAAACCTCTAAAATAACTCTTTCAAAAATATCCATTGTCAGCCGCTCACAACATGCACTCGAACACTATCATCATTGCCATTATCGTTAATTCTCTTAGTTTCTCTCTCTTTCCTTTTGTTTTCTACTTTTACTCTTAACAATTTTTCGTAATCTTTTTCAATATGACAATAGAGATAAATAAATTAAAAAAATTAAGAGAAACAAAAGTAAGAGTATTATAAGAGTTAGAAAGAATTTGAAAGAAAACTATGAAGTTTTTATTAGAGAAAGGCGAAACTAACTTTAAGTTTTTCTCTTCTTCCTTCCACTATGGTAGAGAGGGAGTTGAAGGAAGAGGACATCCGATACAAAATAAAGAGTGATATTGTGAGAACAAATAATAAAAGAGGAAAAATTTACTTGCTTACAAAGATGCTCAAAATTGAATCATAAACAGTTGAAAAGTGTGGAGAGGGAGGTCCAAATGCAATAAGAGCGGGCCAATCTCATCTAAAACAACTAACATCTTTGGAAAAATAACGACGAACCTTACTTTAAACATCGGTGCCCTCTCTTTATAAAACAAGTGATGAGAGCACAAAAAGAAGAATAAAAGAAACAAATAGCAGGAGAGACAAGTTAAAATAGTAATGCATTAAGGTGGAGCACCGAATGCTCTAACAAATACAAAGAAAATGACAAAAAAGAACATAAAAGACAAGGAAAAAAAAGAATAAATAAAGGATGATAAAGCAATATAACACAATTTATTAATGGCATAAAAGAAATTAAACAAAGAATAAAAGGATAGTAAACCAACAACTTGCCAAATAATAAAAACCACTCAACACCTACAACAATTGGCTTGTCCAACGCCTAAAGCGAGGCAAAACACATCACATGTAAGAAGGAACAAACGACCTAGATATAATAAAGGAAGCAATACAATTGAAATGAGTCTTGATTTACGAGTCCATAAGAGTCACGTAATATACAATAAATTAATAGTGAACTATCTAGTTCTTTTTTAATACAATGGACATAAATTTAAACTCAATCTATCTCTTCTCTTCCCCTCTCCCACCCCCCCCCCCCACACACATACACACATTTTCAAGACCAAGTTGGACAAAAAAATGGCCACACCCTTATCGAATCATCTCCCTAGCAACGACGAACCATTGTCTCTAAAATTCTAAAAGCAATCGAACCTAAATTTTTAACTTGTGAACTCGTATTCACCATCTCCACCACATCATTGATTGTCAACTTTCTAGCCTCCATGCCATTTCTCTTCCTCATCGTCGAAAATCACTACATCCTCTCTCATTATTGCCGAGGGCCATCGAACCAAAAACCACTAGACCCGAATCAACGAGCCCGACTTGTTTCCTTCTTCTCCTTCACTCGAACACCCACATGTCGGCTCTCCCACATCATGAATCGAATTTATCAAATAGATTGTTATTGATGACTTTTTTCTCTACAAATAGGTATGAATTAAAATCTATCAAAAAGATTATCGGTGATATGGCTAGTAAATCGAGTCGCAAAACCTTACATCCCGCCAAACACACGAGTAGGTATTGATTCTCAAGTTTAGAGTATTATTTACTTGCTAAGACATGCTAGAAATGGTGTTGGCATCGAGGGAATACATGGGATGATAGGAATAGGAAAGACAACAACAACAATCATTCCCTCATAGTCAAGGTACTGGAAAAAAAAATGATGTCGTGATACTCGTTGAAGTCTTGAACATAATCCATATGTGATGACTTGACATCTTGGGGGAGTTAATCAAAGTTTTTCCTAAACATTAGTCGGAATTGGAAAAAGGATGTTTGTTGACTAGAAGATTTCACCATAAACTTGAGGCTTGAAGAAAAAAAGTAGTATTAGCTAGTAAGATTTAGGAGATGAAGGTGGAGATAATTTGTAATTTTGATTTTGTTAAGTTGATTGGGAATAATCACAAGGTCTATGTCTTTTATTTATTAGACTATGGCAGCATTACGCATGAAAAGTGTGCTCGATATTTGATAAACATGATCAACCGACTTAATTACAAATCAAAAAATAATTATGATATTTGAATTGAAAAAATTAAAATTGAAGTACCGATCAATGTTTGAACAATAATTTAAAGTACTATCAAACCAATTAGCTATGCAATAATCTCTCAAAGTGAACCAACAAGTTTTTTTTTTTTCCTGTATTTCTTGGCTATGTATATATGTTGATTGGATAATAGTATATTGCCATCTTGGACGAGTTCATGTTTTGGGTATCAAGGATTGGGAGGGGTAACTAGAGATATGAATCCATCGTGGTAACCTCCTCTATTATTATACATATATTAAAAGCGGACGTGGTTTCATTGTAGCTAAGCCCTCGCTATAGTGAAACCAAAAAAGACTCAAAACGATGTCGTTTTCCCAAAAAAATAAGTGATTTTTTTTTTTATCAATTTATCAGTATTTTACACTTTAGTCATCTAAGTTATTACTTTATATAAAATAGTCCCTAATTTTCATTAATATTACCAAAAGGTCCCTATCATTTTTTTTTCAGACTGGGTTTTTTTCATTAATTATTATTTAATCAAAATAATTTTTTTTCCATGATCAATGGTTACTTTTTCTATTTTTATAAATATTCATGAACTAAAATTAAAAATTCTTCTAATATAAATGGATTAAACACCTCCTTCTAATTGGATTTTTTAAAAAATAAATAATTAATTGCATGTATTTTTTATTTATCAAAATAAAAAATATTCCTAAGAAATATTTAAATTCAATTATATATATATATATATATATATATATATATATATATATATATATTATATAATTTTTTTACAATGAGTGTTAATTAATTTTTATTTTATATTTATATTTTTAAATTATTTAAAATATTAAAATATAGATATAATAAACTTATTCGCAGTAACGCACGGGTGTTAAGTTAGTATAGAACTAAATTAAATAAAATATGGAATACTGTTGGTTTTTGTCATGAACTTATCATATCTGCCTTTTATTTTTCTTGTCTGATCAATATTTTTGCGTCTTTGAATCAACCTTTTGGTGGCCGTAAATACTTCTAAAGTTCCTTGATTAGTACCAACGTTCGCAGCTTCATTTTTTTTCATAAGCCAGAGATATTTATCAAAAGCATTAAAGAGGCTAGCAAAGGGAGTAATTCTAATCTTACATTATAAATCTTACATTATAGTCTTATAGAATGCATTTATAAGAAAATATTAACCATTGTATTTATCAAGAGATTCACTAATCAAATCTATTTAATTGATGCATGAAATATCAATCCGATGATGGATATTTTTATCATTTTTGTCAATCTTTTGTATTTGATTCTCAAGAATTATAAGTTAAATGTTTAATATAATTGTATTAATACGATCTAACGATAGATGGGATTTTTTTTAGTTAGTTAATTGAGATTTATTATTTATTTTTTTATGAGAATTATGTACATAATTAATATATATATTTTTTTATATGTATATGATTTTAGTTGACATCTTTTTTTTGTATAATTTGAGGGGTTGTTTTTTCTTTTTTTATAAATTTTTTTTGTTAATTTTCAAGTACAATTTTCTAAGACTCACTCTATACATCTTTAATAAAAGGATAGAATCCGTAAAAAAAAAATTTTACAAAGATAAAATCGATAGAAAATCAAGAATAATGAAGTAAAATGTGTCATTTAACCGGCAAAGAGAAAACAATATTGTTGTCGAGTGAAAATTAAAATTTATAAAATTAGATGGTTTCTTTACAAACTAACCTTTTCAAATCTTATCATTTTTATTTTACTAATTTTTTTTTAATTTTTTTAATTTTTATCATTGTTCATTTCAATTTGTTTGGTTATTTGTTTTGTTTCTTAATTTTTTATAATTCTCTCAAGAGAAGTTGAGATATTTCATAAGATTAAGGGATAAAATTGAAATTTAATCAATCTTTTATTGTTTTTATTATTGGACGAAGGGAATTAAAACTGCAATGAAAGTCATGGGGACTGATTGAGGTGAAATTGAGATACTCCAAAAACATAGGAGGGTAAAATTTACCCTTATACAAATACCAAACCTGATTCCGATTTGTTCCAAAGCCAGTATGACTGTATGAGAACGGACGCAAACCCGACCCGACCATTTTCATCCCCGTAATTTCATTGATTCTAAATTAGACGGGCCATCTCATTATTCCTATCATACGTTTTGGGCCTTAGTTGTCCATAAGCAAAACTTATGGTCGTTCGCTTTTCCCCACCATTTATCTGGGTCTTAAGAAGTTTTTTTTTAAAAAAAAAGAGGGCCAGAAAAGACGAGGAGCGAGCTTCTCTGGTAGCCAGCCTCCTCCATACCGATTTTAACTCGAATTAAAAAAGAAGAATATTAAAAAAAAAAAAAGTACAAGAAAAACAAGTGAGATTAAATTGCGATAGCAATTCGATTCTTTTTTTTTCCTTCGATTTCTTTTGTATGCAGGTACGGGTTAATTCGCTTCTGTCACTAGTAACCTTGGTTAGGGTTTTTTTTTTTTTTGGTGAATAGTTGCATGCTTTTCTCTTATATTTTATGTTTTGTTTGTTTGTTTTTCTTATATATAATTATAATGAAGAAGGACATCGGTTTTATAGCAAATCTTAGCTGATAAAGTGAGAATTCTGTAAGCTTGTTATAATTGAGTAAAGTTTAATTATTTTGGCATTGAAGGGTTTTGGTTTCATGGGTTTCAGGAGGAAGTGTGGGTGTGAATGATGGGTTCTCAAGTTGAGTCTGTTAAAGAGATTAATTTGGAGCGAAAACCCGAAGGAGGTGGTATGAATTTTGGATTTTATTACTTCATTGACTTCAAATGGAGAAATTATTGTTATTGACATGGTGGTTGTTAATAGATTTGTTTTTGGTTTTGATAGAGATGGAATCGCGGGTGGAAGCTATATGGGAAAAAATGAATCAAGGAGTTTCTAATAGGACTGTCAAATCGCTTACGACTAAGCGAAGTTTATCAAATGTGAATGCTAGTTCACAGAAGGCAAATAATGTAAGGATGTTCTGTCGTTCATCTGTCGTTCAAACTGTTTTGAATGGAATTTTATTTGTCTAATAGGTAGTTGATGTTTGATTTGTTTCTGCTGATTTTTATTTGGTAGAATTGGTTGGCTTATCTTGGTCTGGCGCCGAAGGAGGCAGCATCTCCTGGACAAGATGGAGAGGTACAGCAGAATGGTATCAGCGTTGAGGACAAGAAGGTTGCTTCGTTATGGGAGCAAATGAATAAAGGAGTGCCTAATAAGTTGCACAAAACGTTTTTGAACAAGTCTTGTTCGACAGTGGATAAATCTTTGCAGACTGAGTCTGATGTGAGGGCTTTTCTTGCTTTCTCATGTTTGTGATGAGATCAATCTGTTGATGGTTGTATTGATTTAGTTTGTTAACTTGCTCTTATTTCATAGAATTGGATGACCTATCTGGGCATGGCAACGAAGCAAAAGGAATACTCTGGCCATGATGAACCACAGAGGAGAGCTAGTGATATGCAAAATGGAAGCGTTGATGAGGCCCGGAAGGTTGCTGCTGCTGCTCTCTCTGCTGTTAAGGATGCTGCAGCCACAGCAGCGGCGGCGGCAGCAGGCAGGGGTAAAGTTGAGGTGAGCTCTTTTTCTCTTTTTTCCTGTTATCATTGGTTTTTGATGGCACACTTAGCTGGGCATCTTATGTCTTTGTAGCCATAACAACTGTTTGACTGAGCTTGACAATTGTTTGTAGTAACATGAAGATGGATGGGACTAATTGATGATAAAAGTGTCTGAATAAGTGATGTGCTAACTCTTTAAACTCGAGTTGCATCTGCTTGTCTATGTTAAGTTATGTTTGTTTCTTACTTAACTTTAACCAAACGTGCCTCCTCTTTCCAACACAGGTAAGAGATTGATTTAAATTCAAGCATAATGTCCTTGTTCTGTGTGAAGTACTTTGATTGTCATAGTAATATGGTGCAAGAACAAGGTCATCAAGTCCATGTGGGCTATCAGGTTTTTTTGGTGCTATGTGAAGCACTTCATACTGTGCACTGAGAAACCTTTTCTTTGTGAGAAGTTGATGCGGAGTCTGGGTAAAGAGATACATTTAGTCCTGTTCATTAAAGGGGATTCTTTTTGTGTTATTGTTGATTCATCTTGTTTATCACACCTTTTTCTCTGTTATCCCCCTAGATTTCCTTTTTATTCATTCTACATCATGTAGTTCGCAAAATTTGTTCCCTTTTCAGATCAGAGAGGTTCGAGACTTTGCTGGTCAGGAAATCGAATTTAGGAAGCTTGTTGATGCAGATTCGAAAGAGGCAACTGAAAAGGCCAAAGCTCCCGTACCTTCTGCTGTTGATGCTGTTCTCGAACAGATCAAGAAGAAACCAAAGCTCAGTGTGCTTGACAAGACGAAAAAGGATTGGGGAGAATTTAAGGAAGAAAACAAGGGGTTAGAAGAGGAGTTAGATGCATACAAGAAGAGCTCAAACCAGTATTTGGAGAAGGTTTCTTTCTTGGAACGAACAGATTACCGGGAATTTGAGAGGGAGAGAGATGCACGGTTGGCCCTGCAGGCCAGGAGGAGGACAGATATGCGAGAGGATTTGTGAATTACACATCCCAGTAACTCCACTATCGTGAATTGGCAGTGAACATGGGGGAAGAAAGAGAGAGTCCTGGGATTTTGCACAAGGGATGCTTTGTCTGTGTTGTGTGGTTAAGGGCTTCTGTTTGATGAGCAGAGTGATGAATGGTTTATTTGGCTAGATATTCCAAATGGTCAGGGAACTTCATGTGAATCTTGGTTACTTCTAATATAAAAGAGATGTGAGGAGAGTAGTCTTGTTTGTAGCAAATGTATGTGGGGAGAGTAGTCTTATTTAATAGCAAATGTTTTTCGTTTTTTAATCAGATGGTTTATTAGGTCTTTGGTTTGTTGGCAATTTAGAGCAACTGCTGACACGTGATCATTGGAATTTGGAACATGACGGATGAAATCTATCCTGCCCTTCCGTTGTAGTTCTCTTCATTTCATCATGCATTACATGTTGTTCTACCTCCCGTTATATTTTCTCTTTGCATAGGCATGAGTATTAAGAGAGCCTATAATCTAATACAGCAACTCCATTGCTGTCACAAGGCAAATAAATACTCATTTCAGTTTAATATGCTTTTCCCTTTGGGCATAGTATGGCATTGAGCTCCTGAGGGCTCATTGTTGCAGCGCCCGCATAACACTATATTGCTAGTAATGGAAGCCTGCAAACAATCAAAGGCAGGCTCCAGAGAAAGTACTTGGCTGTATCCCCGGTTTACCTGGGTCCCTGCATAGTGCAACCCCCTTGATCTTCTTCTATACATCTCAAGGTAAAGGAAAGGAACACCCAACATTCTGACTTTCGAGTATTAGGCGAGACAATATCTGATACTATGGAACTGGAACACAAATCAAATGGCTAATTCTTCGATTTTTTGAAAGGTCATCGACGACCCACATCTGTAATTTGGCAGAAAATAAAAGTCTGGTAAATTTCATAGCTCACTTGTAATCAAAACTAACAGTAACAAAAAGCCAACAGCTCCCCGACTATGATGCATCCATCCCACAAACGAGCCGGAAACTGAATTAAGAAGTCAACAATTAGGATGGAATCCCAATAAACCAACTGCTTCACTGACAATTTAGCAGAACACGATTTAAACTATTTGAAAGTCCTGTGGAACCTAAAATAAATCCCAGCTGCACAAACATGCCCAGACACATTAGTAATGACCATCGACTCAAAATATCTCATCAAGAATGTAGTAATGACCATTGACTCAAAATATCTCATCATGAATGTTGGAGGTGTTTAGTTATTCTCATTTAGATATAAGGAAATGGACAGCAAATTTCTATTCAAACATTCCACCTGCTCCAAAAAGGACGAACAAAGCAAAGGGCAGTTCTACTAAACCATTGGAGAAGTCCTTCAGCAAAAATGAAAAAAGAAGGTAATAATCAATCCTTTTAGATGTGAATGGGCTTGTCATGAGTGGCCATGGCAGCTTCCTTCAATGCCTCACTCATTGTTGGATGTGCATGGCATACGCGGGCTATGTCCTCGCTAGCAGCATCATAAGTAAGAGCCAGTACTGCCTCATGAATGAGCTCTCCAGCATTCGGAGCCATGATATGGACTCCCAATATTTTGTCCGTCTCTTTCTCAGCAATTATCTTGACTATCCCTTCAGCATCATCAATTGCCTTGGCACGACTGTTTGCCAAGAAAGGGAACTTTCCAACACGGTACTCAACACCAAGTGCCTTGACCTGCTCCTCAGTCTTACCAACAGACGCCACCTCAGGATGTGTATAGACAACTCCCGGGACCTTATCATAGTCGACGTGGCCGTGCTTGCCTGCTATGAATTCCACACAAGCAACTCCATCCTCTTCTGCCTTGTGGGCTAACATTGGACCAGGAATCACATCCCCAATAGCATAAACACCAGAAACATTTGTTGCAAACCTTTCATTGACTAAAATTCGTCCACCCTTATCAGTCTCCACACCAATCTTGTCCAGCCCAAGTCCAGCAGTAAATGGAGACCTACCAGCAGAGACAAGAACCACATCAGCTTCAACAGTTGTCTGGTCACCACCAGATGCTGGTTCAACTGTCAACTTCACACCATCTCCAGAAGTATCAACTCCTACAACCTTAGTTTTGAGCATGAATTTCATCTTCTGCTTCTCAAGTGTACGTTGAAATTGCTTGCGAACTTCCCCATCCATGCTTGGGACAATATCTGAAGCGAACTCAACGACAGTTACTTCTGAACCAAGCCGGGCCCACACTGAGCCCATCTCAAGTCCAATATAGCCTGCCCCAATGACCACAAGTTTCTTTGGAATCTGTTTCAAAGCCAAAGCACCAGTAGAAGATACGATCTTCTCTTCGTCGATGGTAATCCCAGGTAGAGACTTGACGTCAGAACCAGTGGCAATTATGATGTTCTTGCCTTTCACAACAGCATTCCCACCATCAACGGTGTCCACTGACACCTCAGATGGGGAGATGAACTTGCCATACCCTTTGACATAAGAGACTTTGTTCTTCTTGAACAACCCTTCAATACCTCGAGTAAGGGTAGATACGGCTTTGTCTTTTTGGGCCATCATGGCAGGTAAATCAACCTCAACAGAAGAAAACTTCACCCCATGGTTAGCAAATGAATGTTGGGCTTCATGGAACATGTGCGATGAGTGGAGAAGCGCCTGAAATTAAGAAGGGTTAGATGAAATTCATATTTGATATACGTTACAGCATGCAGACATATTTTCCCTGTGCTTACTGGCGATAAAGAAAACAATTAAGTTACAAAATACAGGTTAACTAACAAAATCAAACGAATACATGAATTAGTTAACAATTCATGATAAGAGTTCAGGTTGTTAACTTCAAAAGAGCACAAGAACATAGACAATTGATAATACATCGGCTTCCTGAACATTTCAGACAAATTAATATTAACGAGCTGTTTATCATTCGATACAAATCACAATGTCTACCACACATAGGTAAACAGACGTAGAACTAATCAACAGCTTAAAAGTTCCAAAATTCATAACGGTATCGCATAACAAGAGTTCTCTATCAAAAGAGCAATAAAAAAAAATCCCATTTCCTACATAACAAATCAATCCAATTCTGCTAACAAACAATAACAATAGATCTGAAACCAAACAAACCATAAAATCTCACAGAAACAAATATCCACATAGAAAAATTCGACAACTTTAATCCAAAAACAGATCAAAAAGAGAAACCACAACCAAAAAGAAATTACCTTTGAAGGGATACAACCAACATTAAGACAAGTACCACCAAGAGCACCACGTTTTTCAATACAAGTAGTTTTGAGACCCAACTGCGCAGCTTTAATAGCAGCCACATAGCCACCTGGTCCACCACCGATGACAACTACATCGTTCTCTTCAGATCCCGAGGTGGCAAACCCACGAGAGAATTTTGTAAGTGAAAAAGAAAACTTGAAAGCATCAACACTTGAAGAATTTGATAAGTTTGTTGTTAAAAAGTATGCCTTTCTCCTTGCAATACTTGCCATCGCCATTTTTGATGGTCTGGTAGAATATGTCTCTCTTTGTCTGTAAATCAAACAATAACCCTTTGTTTTTTTCGTGTGTGTGTTTTAATTTTTGGTCCACTTGGGACTGCGGCTTTTTGACAACTCGAAGGAGGCTAGAATTTTTTTAGACAAATTTTAAATCAGTCCTCAAACTATAACTCAAATGTCAATGGCATTCTCAAAGAATTTTTTGTCTCAATTAGGTTTCAAAGGATTCATATTTTCGATTAAGCCTTTATTTTTATTTTTTTCCTAAACTCTTCAAAGATTATTAATGAAAAAAAATACACTGTAAAATAGCATAATCTTTTTGAAAATTTTATAAAATTTGAAGACAAAATAAGAGTAATTGAAGAACTCAATAGAGAAACCTCCTTAGATAGTAAATTTATTTTAAGTTATATATATATATATATATACACACACACACCAAGGTATTTTTGCACTGTTATTTCACAGTGCTAATGCTAAAGTTATCCCCAATTAACTCTTACACAAACCATTTACACATATATCAATCCTTATATTCATAAATTTATCAAATGCATTCGCAAGTTTCTAAAAATCTCTTACATTTGAAAGTCCTAATCACTGATGAGGTAAAGATAGAATGTTGAAGCAGAGGTTTTCTTTCATTTTTAGGGTAGAAATCAAGTGCTTCTTATTTTAGAACTTGCTGTTTCTTTTTCCGTTATGAATTACTATGATTTTATTGTAATGAGAGCCGTTGGCTATTCTATTCTCTGAGGTGGGGCCTGCCTTTATCTTAGCATTGAATATGAACCGTTTTTGAAGAGCAGATTAGTGGGTCAAAGGCGAATACATAAAGTTGGGGTACCTAATTCCTTTCATAGAAAATGGGAAGTCCAGTTTGATTTTGATTCCTTAAAAACACACAGTACTATACAATCCAATGGGGGTGTTGCCGTGCTGCCATTAGAGATGGTGTATTCAACAGTTTGAATGGTTGAGATCTATTGATCAATACAGACAATTGTGATTGGGGTTTTGGGGGGTGTAATGAGCACGGTCTCAAACAGTGCTATGTCGTTTGGAATTTTTCTGCTTTTGGATTTTGTTTATTGAAGCTCCATAAAATACTGGCCTCAGGAATCCTAGCATTACCCTTTTCTTATATGTCTGGTGGTGGAAGATAGTGAGCTTAGACCACCATTCTGCTAATAAGATAATGAGGCCTTTGTGCGCCACTGCTAAAGCCAACTCGAAAGATATTTGTCGTGAAACCATTTGATCAATATTGTGAACAAGGTTCTGTTTTAGGACGCTCGAAACCTACCATTATGGCAACTGAGAATATCTTGGCATGGGGCGAACTCTTCCCAGCACGGACCAAAAGGCGTTGCACATGAGGAATATTAAAGCCCTCCTCAGTGAAAAATTTCTTTGGAACTAAGGTTTCTACTCTTTAAAAAAATTACTGAATATTGATTGCTTCACATCTTAAAAATTAGACTTGTAACTACAATTGCATTCAAGAGGCTCCAGACACGTAACTTGAATTCTCATTTCATAATCCCTATGGCCAGGTTGCAAAACAGACACGATGTGTAAAAGAAAAAACAAAGCAAAAAAATGACCGGCCATTGCAGTGTGCCAAATCCAATGAAAAACCAAAATAACCTGGCTTTGTCAATAAACAACAAAGACTCACATTTCACTTGATATATTACCCCAATCCTGCATTTGCTCCTCTACCCTACAAAACTGCCAGCTGTTTTTTCTAAACCACGTCTGAAACAGCCACAAACAGATGAAAATTCTTTACCGACAATATCAGTAAATAATGTGAAATAATTTGTATGCATATTCAATTGCCTTCGAACAAGCTCTTCAGCTTGTTCCGAGCCTCCTCAGAGAGGCAGAAGCACCGCAACCTTCGCCTCTGAGGTGGACATGACTCAACAGGATTAGGTGAAGAGAAGCAGACAACAACGGCTGTGAGATTATCAGCTGAATGGAGGCGTGATGCTTCCATGACTAGTTCTCTGGCACTGAGTTCTGGGTCATTATGCCGCCTCAGCCCACGACGGACAAGGCTGACAGCATGTTGGCTTGACATAACATCCCAGATACCATCACAACCAATAATCATAAATTCATCATCATCCATTAACATAAACTGTTGAACATCTGGCTCAGCAATGAGAGGTGATGTAGAGCCAAGTGGAAGCTTAAAATCCCAGTCTCCAAGGGCTCGAGTAACAGAAAGATAACCATTAAGATATTCACCTTCGATATAACCACCCAATTCCTCAACCCGTCTGCGCTCTGGCAAATAAGAGGGCCGGTGATCTTGAGACACATCGACAGCTACCCCTTTCCTACAGATAACTGCTCGGCAGTCACCAGCATTTGCAACCACTAAATGCCTTCCAAGAAGTAGGGCAGTCAATGCTGTTGTTCCACATGAACGATTAACAATGCTTTCATCAGCCAATGCAAGGTCGGCCAGTAAAAATGCTTTCCTATGGGAATTACTCAGTGCTTTTAGGAAGACATCATCAATATCAGATGTTTGTGGCAAGTCAATATCCTCAAAAAACAATCTCATAGCATTCCTCTTGACATAAGCAGCCGCATCAGGCCCTCCATGACCATCAAAAACTGCATAAAAAGAACTCGGACACTTGAAATAAGAACCCAAATGGGCAGATAGATCATCAATCTTAATGTGTTCATCATCCATAGACGGCCTTGTTCCGATATCAGCATAGCTACCAGAACGGATGCATGGAAAAGGCTTGGCGGCAGAAGACCCAACAGCAGCTTCTTTAATGGTCTCTGTGCAACTCACAACCTACAGTGCAAGAGAGAAAGAGGTAAGTACAAGTTTGGAGATATCAAAACGTAAAGCAGAAAATACAATACCACAACATTTTGAAGAAATAAACTACACTATGGACAAGAAAGCATGTGTAACAAGATGATAATAAACCTAAAATTAAACACTAACAAATAGAAAGCACTATAGGGTGCACAGATTTCGCCAGCTCTACTAGTTCGATATCCAGTTAAAGCGTATTCTTACTCCCTAACAATATTCACATTAAGGCCAGCATATCAAATTATGCAACCCTTTTGACATCATAAACTAGCATTCAACCATCTTGTAAATCCAGGGCCCATAATTTATGGCTGAACACCCTCAAATTATATACAAAACAGCTCCAATCCTAATATCCCAAACCATTAAGTAAAGCCATGTATTTAACCTGTAACCCTAAACCAATCAATAGCCTCACGACACCATTCAGGACCAAATTTCCCCCGAAACACAAACAAAATCAAGAAAATTTCGGTTTGGAACCAAATTGCCACCACAAGACACACAAAATCAATAGAACCTAGCAGTCCAACTATCTTGAGAAACCCCCAAGAAGAAGGAAAAAGACAACCAACCCAGTCAATCAGATTCATCTTTAAAAGGGCATCACAGGCTACTATTAACAAATAATAAAAACAATAATCTTGAAACCCACAAAAAAAAGAATTAACTTTTAACAAAAATTAATCAACCCCCCCCCCCCCCCCCCCCCAAAAAAAAAAAAAATCAAGAAACCAATAATAAATCTAGAGAATTAAAGAACCCCAGAAAGAAAAGGCAAGCACGTACGGACTCAAATCGCGAGATTTCTGAGGAAATCGAATCAAAAACCGGAGTAGGAGTCATGTTCTGCTGATCTTTAGCCAGACAAAGTTGATATTGCACATCAATAACATTACGCATTATCTCGGTTGTTTCCGTCACCACTTTTTGATTACTAACTATCATTTTCTCAGTCAAGACGTCGCTTTTCTAACACAAATTCACCTTCTTCTTTTTCAGCTCTTCAAAAGATACGAAAATTTAGGGTTTTGATTTTTAATCGAGTCGAATTTTAGAATCAGAGAATTTCTTTCTTTGATGGTGTCTGTCTTGATTCACGGTGAGATTAGGGTTCTTAAATTGAAGTAGATTCTGGTTTGGGTTTTTGTTCAATTTATTTGGGTTCGTGGCTTAAGAGACCGACACGGGGAGGTTAAGACTTTGAAGAGACTGAGACGGACACGAAACTAGAGAATAGAGAGATAACCACGTGAACTCGCAAGTGCGAAAACTAGACGGATTTATCCTTTAATAAAGTTATTTAGTATTTCTCTTTGCGGCTATTTTCCTTTTTCTTTCTTTTTCTTTTTTTCCCTTCATTTTTTATGCACGCGGTGTTAAAGTTTAAGCTTTGAAAAAGAGAGAGAGAGAGAGTGAGTTGGATGGATTCCTTCCGTCTTTCTTCCTTTCGAAGCTTGTGATTGTCAACCATGTGTTTTTTACTTATATTTTTGTTTATAGTGGTGGAAAATGTAGTCTCTATATGCAAAAATTAACTAAAGAATACCGTTATTGTTAAATTAAAATAATACTAATTAAGGGAGACACTGATTACATGATAATATAACATGTTTCAAAATTACTGAAAAATTCAATTCATACAATACAATTAACCAGATTTTTTAATAAATTATTTTTGTTCTTGTATAATTAAAATCCTTAATATTCCTTGCCATAGAAGGTTTGAATATAAAATCTCTAAGTAAAAATATATTATCTTAACCACAGTTTTTCCTTGAAAAACTTATATGAATTAATTAATTAGTAGGCGTTTTAAGAATTTTTAATAAAAACGACACATGACATCTTTGTCTGTATGGATGTACTGGCACATGAACATAAATTACTATTTTTATCTCATGAATTAATTATGGGACGATTTAATGTGTAAGAGCTTTTGAAAAAGATTCTATACTTTCACTTATTTCTAATTTATTTCAAGGCAATTTAATCTACAAATATATAAAGATATGGATGCTTTTATAAGATTATAGATAGATAGATAGATTGAATCTTACACGGACTTAGAAGATTGGAAAGCTTAAGAGGAAATGATTAATATAATCAATGTATAGTTATATTTTATGGCATTTATTCGATGGTAACATTACTGTGTCCAGCTGCGTGTATATGATCTTCTGGGGAGAAATAAGAAATTTTTTACCATATTCATTTCAACACGGCAAGTGATTTGATTTATGATTTGGGTCATAAATTAATGCTATGCGAGTTTGGAATATGTCAACTTGCTTGTGAAAATAATTGACGGATCTTATCCTAATCCTTGAGCACTAAAAAGACTTTCTACGTGTGGTTATAATTACATAATGCAAATTACATTTAACCAATATAAAAGATGCTATCCAAATGCGACCAAAACTTTGCGTAATCCGTTGCTTAATTTTATAACTGATAGAAATGTGCGTGCCCCTTTAGTGGTGAAATTGGTGACTAAGAAACAGAACTTATATGTGGACGGCATTGCTTCCACTTGGTAAACACACTCTTCTTCTTTTTCTTTTTCTTTTTTTTAATTTCCTAAAAAAAAAGTATTTCTTTTTCTTAATTATATTTTATTGTGATATCGTAAAGTTATATTTTTTGATATTTGATTCAGATGATAATTCAATTTACTTTTAAAGTTATATATCTTGATTTTGAGTTTTTTTTTTTAAAAAAAAGGGTGAAAATAAATTTTTTCTGAGTGTGTAAATTTAAATGAAGATAACTGACGGAATATCCATATTAAGAAAAGGAGTGAGTTTCAATATATTAAAAGATATGTCAATAATATTTAAGAATGAAGTTTGTACCTAACACTAATGAGCAATATACTCCTTGCTTAATTTCAAGAGATCTCGAATTTTACTCTCTTCTTTCTAAAAATTAAAAAAAATAAAAAATAAAAAACGATTAAATGGAGATCGCTTTACAAACAATTAACCGCCGCTACATTAACAACATTTTTGTCCCACCACAGATACGTACGTGGAAGTATTATTAGTTGCTAATGCACGTTTTTAGTGGCTGCCGTCAGATCCCATACTTCGGGTGTAAGCCAATATATTGATCACGATTCCAATTAATATTTGCTTTTTAAAGGGCAACAAAATTAACTAATCAAATTAGCTTACCTCACAAGTTGTCTTTCTTCAGTCCTTTTTTTTTAAAAAAAGAAAAAAGAAAAAAGAAGCAAACCAAAAACTTAATCATTTATCCATCCAGATTTTGACCTTTTCTATAAGCACATGTAGTCGTCGTCGTCTCGTCTAAGGTACCTAACTGTTAAAAATAGTTTATGTGAAATTACTGACTAATGTTTAATCACTTCCTCTAATACTGAGATGACTCGAAATAATAAATTATTCCTTAAAAATAGCAATTTGCCTCACATTTTTCTCATTGTAAATCATAATGTCGTGGAATTTTGGAGCTAAGCAGTTGTTGGTGGGTTTTTGTTTTGTATTGGTGCAAATAATGATGCGTGGTTGGTTAACGGTCCTTCTAGATTTTGTAGAACTTCTTACACTACACGTGGCAGAAAAGAAGCACGTATCCTTTCGATCCATCTGCCTTTTCTCCACTCTGTATCATGTTCATTCATCATCTTAAGATAACTTCACGATTTGTTCTCTCATGGTTGGTTCTATGATTTTAGGGAACAGAAAAAGTGATTGACACGATGTTTCCTTATCCAAGTTTTATCTATACGTGTCGATATGAGAATCACTTGTGAACAGCTCTTTACCTACCAATCAGATTTCATCTTTTTGCTTTTGCCCACATCTGCCTCCGCTGCAGGGGCTGTGGTGGGCCACATTGGAATTTGCCTTCTTCTTCTATCTCATTTCAGGACATGGGCAAGAAGCGGAAAGCGTACTTTACCTGAAATGCAAGTTTGAGCTGTATTATAACGCTCCCTCTCTCTTCACATCAGCGGCATTCATTTTGTGTAATGCTCGGCTTTGCAACTTTAGGCCAAGAAGATGCTCTTCAAAATCTAAAAATAATTCTATTTCAATCAACAGTTACAAATACAAGAACACACGGCATACAAAGAAACAAATGAAAGAAGCGAGATGAAAAAAAAAAAAAAACACAAGATTCATTTGAACAAAGCAGCGTAAATAGAAACGATAATACACTCGGAATTCTTCCCAATCTAGGTTGTAAGAAAAGTAATCAAAACCGAGTTTAAGCTGAAACCCACTAAATTTGGGGTAACTGCGGGGTAAAAACTCTGGCTTCATAGGGCTTTTGGCGTGACCTTAACAGGGAAGAGATTCTCCAACAAGGTTTGACGTTACTCACAGCAGGCTGGCTGGTGCTCCTTCTGCAGCTTCTCCCAAAGACATAATACTAACCTTGGGCTTTGATAATGTGCAAGAATATAATCTGTTTCACATCCAGCATTGTAAAACCTGTCATCTGTCATGTAATGCACTTCTTGACCACTTTTCTTGAATTGCTCAATCCATATGCCCATCGCAACATCTTCTAATTTAAAAAGCTGACAAATAGCCGAAAGGTAATTAAAAAGCTGCCAAATAGCTCCATGGCCCTTTTCTTATGCTTGAAAGAAATGCATCAACAGCAAAGGCAGAGAGAGATGATACATGTACAATCATTGTAATATAGAGGATGTTTAGTATTATCTTCAACTTGGAAGCCAAAAAAATGATCTTGTTTCTTGAATTCTTCATCAACGTTTTTTTTTTTTTTTTTGGCAGTTCCCTAGATGTTGTGGAAAACCTTTACAGATTTTCATGCTTGCGTTTAGATGATAAAAATATATGACGGTGGCTTATCAAGCAGAGGATAAAAGTAAACCACTAAAAACAGATCCTAACACCTAACGTACACTGCAAAAGCATTTTCTTTCAGCTTTGAAGAGAAATTTACCTTGAGATCTTTTTCCTGGTGGCCTCGAACAATGAATTTTGCAATGTCCCGAGAAATAACATAACCAGGGCCATGAGCCCATGGTGGATATGTTCCATGGGGCCATTCCTGCACAAAATGGCATTCATCGAAATAAAATGAAATACTATTTGGGGTAAGAGGAAAATCAGAGTACAAAAGAACAAATATAATCAATATGCCACTCAACCAGGAATTGGAGTGCTTGCCTCATTACTGATATACCATTTGCTGTCTCTATCCCTGTGAGGTGATGAATCAAAGGATATGCGACCATACAAGAGACCATTTGATGGCTTTTCCTTGAGGCTTGTGAGTACTTGATCAATCCTAACAAAAGCATCATCATCTGTTTTCATTATGTATTTAGCAGGGAGAATTTTGGCCTGCATATTCAACAAAGGATTATTGACGAGTAACAAAACAGGTAAAGGAGATTGAGCAAGTGGTTTAAATGCAATTCATTACATACCCCCGTAATGCAGATTGCAATCGTTTTCAAACTTATCAGGCTGTAATAATCTATAAAAGGCATCAACTGGATATCTCCATATACTAGGGCTTCTTTCCACAGCTCAAGATTGACTTGACTGTTCTTGTGCTGCAGGCATGTAAATTACCAAATTATTTAGCAAACAATTTTTCTGAAATGGCAACCAAGTTGCACATCTTAGGCATGAATTGCATAGAACCAAATTAATCATCAACATTACTAATTGGTCATAACTTAGTTTGCCCAATATTTATGGAAAACAAGGTTTGCCTAGCACTACCTTCATAAGATCGGCAGTCTCAGGAAATAGCATTCATTAACATTTCAAATCTGAAGAAAATTAACCAATCCATTGCACATACAGCTAAATCAATCTAAATTGCTGAAAATACGAGCTACTGGTATTGGTGGGGTAATCAGGGATCACGAAGGAAAGTTCTTATGTATCTTCTCATTTTCAACTGGCATAAAGGATTCCAATGAGGCTGAGGTTCTAGCTAGTAACAAAGCCTTAGAAATAAGTTCATCCCGTCTTCTTTCCCATGAGATGAACTGGATCATAGAAATTGACTCAGCGAATGCAATGCTTTGGGTTCATCAAAATGCTAATGAGAAGCCATGGAAAATGCATGATGTTTTTATGAGCATCAATTCTTGTATTCGAAATCTGTAGTCAATTAGTTTTATTAGAATTAATAGAGATGGTAATATGGTTGCTGATAGTTTGGCTAAACAAGGAGTTGATAGACGGGAAGATTATCTTGCTTGGTTATAGTCCTTTCGTTTCTGCTCTGTAATCTCTTTTTTACCATTGACTAGATGGGTCTCTTTATAATCTAAATCCACTTTCATAAAAAAGCAAATTGCAGAAAATATGGCATCTTGGAAGTCAGAAGAATAAGGAGATTGTCTTCCTCTCGTGTGTGTGAAGTTTGTCATGGACTATGACTCATCACTTACAAGGCCAATGAAAAATCGGACAGCAACATCCCCTGAACGTATAGCCTCATATTGCATCCAAGACCTCCTCAGTGCCATGCGACGCTCAAAATTATTTCCAGTGGAGAAAATCCCGATCAACATTACAAGTCTCTTTCTTGTTACCAGAGGAGCTTTTAGGTGCTCAACATCAACAACTAAGTCATTATCTTCAGATACAGGCAACCCTCTTGCCAAGGCAGATAAGACGTCCACACCGCCTGTCACTTTGACCTCACTTACTGACCATGGTTCAAGCTTCTGCACATATAGAGAGTGAATCCAATGGGATGCGCACTACTATGAAGCTGATAAAATTCCAAAGCATCAACAAGCTTCTCAATCCAATTTTTAACTATTTATAACATCATACCTTACCTCCCTGTAAGCAAAAGATGTTTCATGCCTTCCATTTACTGTCATATGGAGTCCCTCCAAACCAGCCCATAATGTAGCTGTGAAAGTATTTCCTTCAACAAATGGAAAATTGGCTCTTTCATGGGCAATTCCTTGGGAAACAGTGGCTGATACATCACCAACAGGAGGACTCGCATTTACATTTTCTTCCATGGTGCTTCTGACAACTTTTTCATTGCAAAGAACAAGTCCATCAACTGCCATATTAGCTCATAGGTTAGATTACCTTTTCCATGAAAAAAATATGGGGGGAATCTAACATCATATTTTTTCCATGTAAAAGTATGGGGGGAATAAGCATTGGGATGAGATGCAACTAGGAAAAAAGGTGGTGTTGAAATTTTTTTCTTCCAAAAAGGATTGGTATGCCAGTTCCTACGATAAGGTTATTCTAACGTTCGTTTTTTCCTTTTTGGTTCAACGTGACAAGTGTGAGCCAATCAATTATAAAAACCAGACAAAACTCTAAAACCTGTTCAAGAAAGAGAGCAGATACATTTGTTTACATTGTAGCAGAGCACCCGGCATGAATTTTCCTTTTCCCTAGAAAGGTGATGCTTTAATCCGGAACTACTTTTTAAATGCAATCCAATTGAAGATTATGTAAAAAAAAAATAATAATAAAATTAAATTAAATGTAATCCAGTGCTAGTTCTCTCTCACTAACATCCATTTGGAAGATTTAAGATGCTATGGCATCTAAAGCTTGTCACAACAAAAGATGGCGTCCAAAAAATAGGACATGATCAAAGTGTTATAAGAGTTCAAATCAAGGATGATTTCTGTTAAGTAAATCAAAATAAAACAAGGACAAATTTCCCAGATCCAGTGTTGTATGATAGAATATTTGATGAATAAAACAACCTCATCACTATGAAGGGAAATTAAGCTAAGCCCCAGAAGAATTAAAATTGAAGCAGCATCCTTTTATTATAACAGCATGTGTAACATAATTCCCCTCTATAATTGCTGTCACATGAAAGGGCTCCTGACAAAGGCAAAATGGATTATCCAATTTTATGTCCCCCAATATCAACACTATTTTATTGACGGTTCCTACCAAGAAAACATTGTGAACCAAAGCATCATTAGTTTGTCTTCACAAGATAAAAAACGAACCCACAGAATTACCAAGTGCCATGAGTCCAATGGCCACACGGACAATGAGGTCTATAAATGTTCACATCTAGCATTCAAATATGGAATGTTAAAGCAATACTATGTTAAAACATGGGAGTTGCATTAATTTTAGAAATACTGCAGGTATGGACTCCAGATCATGCATTCCTACAAACATAAAAGAATCACAATGATTTATACCTTTTGGGATGTCAGCAGATCTATGACTAGGACATCTTTCCTCTTTTCCCCAGCCATGTTCTTTAGTCCATGTATTCTGAACAACAAATGGCTCCTCTGTCATATTGTCTCCAGGTAGGCTCACATTGTAATGCAAGATAATAGGAGGATTTGGCTCTGCTGGAAGTTGCAAACCTAGAAGTTCAATCTGAAAGCTTCTGTTGTGCCCATCTGGAATGCCAAGCACTGTAATGGAAGAATCCTCAACTAGACCACAAGGGATATCAAGAATCGTTTCACCTCTTGATGTTGTCACATCAACTGTGCTTACAGAGTGAGGACAGTTCTTATCCTCTGTTTTGTCAAAATTGGTGAGTTGAGCAGCTTTGTCTTCCTTAATTTTGTATAATAAGTCCTTCCATGCTATTGAAGCCTCTTTAATCCCCTGGTTTGTTTCAGGCAAAGCATCAGACCTGGATAATAGCAAACGCATCTGAAACCAAACAAGCAAGGTCTTTGATACATCCTTAGAAATATTGTTTAGAGCATACAAATCACTAAGCCCCTCAACATTTATATAATGTGGTTTCTTGGATGATTTTGTTGCGTCCTTGAGTTCCAATTGAGGAAATTTAGCAGGATGTTCGTCCTTCAAGTGAGAATCACCAGCTGGATGACTTCTGAAAAAATCATATGCTGACTTCTTTTTCTGCGATTGTGTTCCCATAAGGCTATAACTGAAGACCAGAATTATAGCAAGAGCTATAATTACAATCCCTCCAGACCATTTCTTCATTTTAAACACAGACAAAGATATTTTCAATGATTTCATTCTTGCACATGCCAAATAATCAGACTCTTTTATGTAGCTGTTTCGTAGACAATAGAACCTGCAAATAAGCATGTAGCCCTATTCTTGAATTGTTGCCTTCCATTTGAACTTGTTCTGTTATAATTTTTACCCTGTCCAAACCAACCAATGATACAAGATTTAAGAGAATTTACAGACATTACTAGTAAAAAAATAGCTGACTTAAATCAGAGAAAGCACGGAAAAAGAAATAAAATCAGGGGCACGAATCTTGATAAAAACCAAACAAACAAAAAGATAGGACTCGAGCAAGCCTGCTAGAGACAATTGAAATAAGCAAGCTGAACTTTTCATGTATCATATTCTATGAATAAACCCATACTTCTATTTTCCATTATTTTCATATTTATTCACAGGAACTAGGCCAAAGTAGCAAAGCACAACTACTTAATTCTGGCACTAATAAATTACTATGTCATCTTCATATTCACAAATCACATATCAAAGCACAATCTTAATCACCTTCTCTACCAATACTACATACCCTCATTACCTATCATATTATTTTCATCCATTTTTGTAACTAAAAAGAGAAATAAAAAACAAAAGTTCAAAGTTTTTACAAACATCTACTAGAAAATAAAGTACAAATGCAAGCATCTTTCAAATATACAGCGAATCAATCAAGCAGCAGAAACATGAGGTAAATAAGTTACTAAAGAAACATACAAAAAAAAGCAACAAACTCAAAAATAAAAAATGTACAGAGAGACAACAGCGAGAAGAAAAAAGATTGAAGCTATTCAAGAAACTTAACTTGTTGAATGCTAAAATGGGTTTTTGAGCTTCTACTATGTTGATCTTGGAGAGTATTAAGTGACTAGATAAAACATACAACGAAACAGAGCACCAAACTCAAATAACCAAATCGTTGCACATATACAAACATAAATGCAAAGAGAGTAGAGAATAAGAAGACTCAGGCTGTTCAAAGAACTGTTACAAGCAAACTGGACTTACTTTTATTCGTTCTAAAATAGGTTCCTGAGCTAGCTGCTAGTGCTGATCTTCGAGGTTGAAACTTCACTTTCAGGGAACTAAAGGGTCACCATTGAAGCTGGTTAGAATCAGCAACCGGTATTTCTACATAAATGCGGCGCCGTTTCTGGGGTCGTCCGAAAATGACCTTCAAGACCTTGGTATGGATACAACTAGTTGGGTTTATATTGAATGTAGTCGTGCATGCAATTACTAGAGTGTTCACTATATTTCCTATCGTGAGTTTCACCGTAGCATATGAGAAGAGAAAGGTTCTTTCTTGTTTGATCTAAAGTCTGAACTCCTTGATGGACTAGCAGATATTTTGGTGGGCTTTGGGCTTCAAAGTCATTGGTTTTAAAAAATTAAAAGTGCAAAAGGGCTAGGACTAGGCATATGACCACGACTAGAGGGAGGGAGAGGGACCAACAATGTTCCTCAAGCTCGCCAAACCAATCCTCGAGTTCCAGTTCTGTAGAAAATGGCAAGGGCTAATATGCATGTAAAAGCTGTAATTAGGAACTTCGGATATAGGAAGAGTCTTCCACTCACACCATCTGAATTTCTGCAGTTCAAGAAAAAAAAAATCGAAATTTGCTTCCTTTTCTGCAGCATTGGTAGAGTCTACATTCCACGCCTATACAAAAGGAAGAATAAATTTAGCCCAAGGTGCTTTTAGATATCAGCTATAGAACATCACCCGACCAGATTGAAAGAAAATGGTTTCTTTATATTGCACAGATTTAGACACAAAGCCGAAAACAATAATGCTGTTAGAACGGTGGTCGGCTTCGGTTGGTACCTACAAGACAATATCAGAACCTTCGGAAGCCACTTAAAATTCTACAATCAAATAAGAAACTAGCCAGAATTCAGGATTCTCTACGTAGGAAGAACTTGTCTAAAACAATTTCACTCTTAAAGCTGAAAAAAATTCAGAGTCCAATCAATCACATATCTATGTGACCCTTAAATCTTACCCGATTCTACATTACACACCTGCGAAGACATGGACTCAACTTCACAAAACCATGATGCAGATCCTAAAATCTCTTTCTGCATAAATACAAGAATTGGTTGATATAAAGAGGGCTGTTCTGAGTAAATTATAAATTAATCCCTCTCGTTTTGAGAAACAAATTAATTAGTCCTCATAGTTTCAAAAAATAACTATTTAATTTTTTTTATTTTTCAATTAATTTTGATTTTTCGTTTTGAGAAATAAAAAAATTAAATAATAAATAAAAATATGGATATATTGATGAAAAAAGAACATATTTTATAAAATAAAAAAAATATTAAATTAACTTATTTTGGCTTTGCCAAACCTATCTGAAGAATTTATTGTTGAAACCAATGCTTCTAGACAAGGTAATGGGGTTGTCTTAATGCAGAAAGGACATCTCGTAGCTTATATCAATAGGCTACTATCCCCAAAACACCAAGCAATATCAGTATATGAAAGGGAACTCTTTGTTATTCTGTTTACGATCAAAAAATGACATCGGTATCTTGCTGATCGACACTTTATTATTCGCACCGTTCATTAGAGTTTGAAACATTTATTATCACAAAGGATCCATACTGTAGAACAACTGACTTGGTTGGTCAAACTCATGAGTTACAATTATGATATTGTTTACAAAAAAGAAAAATAAAATATTGTGGCTGATGCTTTATCCAGGATTGAATTGTCAGTATTAGCCTTTTCTTCTATTTTAACAAAACAAATGGCCAGAGTGCAGGAGTTCTGGAGTTTAGACCTTGCTTTAAAGGAGATTTTAGATCAACTTTAGAGTTCTTATGGGGGTCATTCTAAATTGGTATGCCAAAATAGCAATTGTGAAGGAAAGGAAGGTTCGTTGTGGGAAGGGATATAGAGTTACAAAGAGATATAAGTTTTTATTTATCATGATTCTACTGCTAGTGGACATTCTAATGTGGCAGTCACTGCAAAAAGGGTTGATTTATCATTCTACTAGAAGGGATTAACCAGAACTGTTAGAGAGTATGTGAGAGCTTGTGCTATTTGTCAATATTTTAAATATGAAAATGTGGCCTTGTTAGGTTTGTTACAACCTCTACCTTTATCGTAGGCTATTTTTATTGATATTACGATGGATTTTGTTAAAGAATTACCATTGTCTTAAGAGAAATCTGTCATCTTTGTGATGGTTGATAGGCTAACCAAGTATTCCCATCTCATGCCTTTGGCTCATCCTTATTCTGTTGGATCAATAGCTAAGATGTTTGTGGAAGGGGTGTACAAGCTGCATGGGTTACCTAGCAACATTATTTCAAATAGGGATCCTATCTTTTTATTAAATTTTGGAGGGAGTTATTTGCATATCAGGGTGTTTCACTTAAAATTTTTTACGGCCTATCATCCTTTAACCGATCGCCAAACTGAGGTTGTCAATCGATGTCTCCAAACTTACCTTCGTTGCATGACATCTTCTCTTCCCAATACGTGGTCTAGGTGGTTATGTCTGGCAGAGTTTTGGTAAAACATATCATCCCGTTCTTTCATTTATCGAAGTCCTTATGAAGCCTTGTATGGTTATCCCCCTCCACTGCATTGACCATACTTGCCTAAGGATTGTCAAGTGAAGGTTGTTAATGAATTTTTACAGGAAAAGAAAACTGTGATTGACTTCCTGAAATATCACTGGACCAAGGCCCAACATCGAATGAAGCAATTGACTGATAAATCTAGGTCAGATAGAGTTTTTAACATTGAAGATTGGGTGTAAGCAGCATTATAGACAACAGTCAGTGATTGTTCGTCGAAATAAAAAGTTGGAGTCTCGTTATTTTCGCCCTTTCAAGATCATTGACAAGGTTGAAGAAGTAGCTTACACCTTGCAACTTCCTGCTTAGTTACAAATTCATCCTACTTTTCATGTTTCGCAATTGAAACCTGTTCATGGAGCTGTGCCTGTGCAAAATGAGTTACCTACCTCTACTGCTTTTCCAATTTTTCCAATGACTATATTAGATTGCAAAATTGTGAAACCAGGGAACCAGGCAGCCACTAAATTTCTAATTCAGTGGTCTAATGGCTCTCCCACGGATGCTACATGGGAGTTTGCTTTTGACATTGCTACTCGTTTTTCAGAGTTTGACCTTGGGGACAAGGTCGCTTCAGCAGGGAGTATTAATACAAGGGCTAACTAAAACAAAGATTGAGGCTGACCGAAACAGAGACTAAGGAGGAAGAAGAAGTTGAAATAGCAAAATAGAGACTGAGGCTGACTAAAGCAGAGGAAGAAGAACAGGGAAAAATAAATAACATGTGTATTTTTTTTAAATGACGTGGCTTTGTATTAAAGGTTAGTTTGTTAGAAAAACTGTTAGTCTCTAACGCCTAGTTTGTTAGAAATGTTTTTCAGTTTCTAACAGATTAAAACCAGAAGAGGGAGGGGAGAGAGAGGGTATTCTAGCATTAGTGAATATTCTTCTCTTTGTATTTTCTCTCTGGTTTTCTCTTATAATCCTTAGGGTTCTTTCTTAAAAATTCTTGATAAACAATCTTATTTGTAACGGTTGTTTCTAATAGTTCAATCGTATTTTGATTCATTTACATAACTGTTCTTCTTAGTTTTCAAAAATTTGTATTTACTTGTTTTTCTTACTTGATCTGTTACATTTCATCTTAATTTTTATTTGATTGGAGCTGAACTGCATCATTAACTCTTTATGCAGACCCTGAACTGTAAAGCTTTTCTTTCCTTTCCTTCGCTGTATACGTACGTGCACATAATCTTTGGTCCCCGCGCCTCCTGACTATTTGGCATCGGCAAGTGGATCGACAGCGCTAGGAATCTCGATTTCTAGTTCAACCATACATCTACTTTTTGCTCGAGAGAACTGAAAACAGAGAAGTTTTTCCTTTTCTTTTGTTTTGTTTTGTTTTTTTTTTTTTTTTGGAGAGATTATGTTCTGAATTCCGAGACGAGAAAATTGGAGACAACTAGCGATTGCTTTATAGGAACGCATCCATTTTATTTTCATAAAAAATAAAATAATCTTCCGATGTCTTGATAAACATCCGTGTCAGATCGTGTAGCATCCATCTCGCCCGCATTATTTCGATCAACAGATACAATATTCCCTCACATCATGTTTGAAAACTTTTAATACGAAATTGAACTCATCCTAGTTCTCTTTGTAAGGTCATATTTAACAAAAATGAATATATAAGGATAAATTTTGAATAATTCAGTAGCATATGAATCCAGAATTAAAGGTCAAGCGACTTTGACTAGAAAACTAAGGGGGTCCAAATATTAAGAAGTGATGAAATTACGAGTACAAGGAACAACAAATCACACCTAGAATGTTACAAGCGTGACGTTATCCTTTAGCCAAATTACCAAACCTGAGTTTAAAATTGGAAGGTGATGAACGTCCAAAAATTCTAGAAAAATAAATCAAAGAGCAAATTGCATTGCAAGGTTCATTATGGGATAAAATACCTATATATTCTTATATGGCACTCGAAATAATACACCTGAGGTACCCCGAAAACAAAACAAAACAAAAAAAAAAAAAAAATTACTATTAACCCATAAACTTTGGGCCTCCAAGTGAGACCAAATTTCTGGCGGCCAGCCCAGATGGCTGCTCCCTTTCCAAAAATTCTATGTACAAGGAAAACAGCACAATTGTATTAATGAGGGGGAAAAAAAACTGTACACGAGGAGCAACTACATCAAATTGTAGTGGGTATTCTGTACAGCTTTAATAATCAAATTGATGATGTGTCTTCCTTGGTGATTCCTCTCATATCAGTAAAATTACACTTCAGACGAGCAACCATGTTCCATTTTCCAATAGCGTCAGCAGAAGACTGCAGGTGCTTCATTGAATGACAAATTCTAAAACCTCAATCAAGAACATCTTCCTAGTCCATACCTGCGTATGCATCTAATCACATCAGCAGCATTCACACATACAGCACTCCAGGTTTAGCCTCTCCCAATAATAAGCAAACGTAATTTGGAAGTCAATGTCTTTGCTTTGTAAAAATGCTTGAAAACATAAAAAACAAAATGTCATTCCAACGCCATACCTTCCAAACTGCAGAGGCATCTGGCCTAAAATCTAAGCATTCAAAAGCAGTCGTATAACCTGACTTAAGCCAAGTCTTAACACAAATTCTCCATGAGTGGTTTTCCGAATCAACTGGAGCTGCTGCCAAACGTTGAACTTAGAGGAACCGACTCAGGCACCAGTTGGGGAGACCAGATGTAATCCCGTTCCTTTGAAATTCCTTCAAGTCTGGTGACATCTGCACTCGGTGCATATGGTTTTCTCACTTTATTTTTTAGCATTTCCTGAATAACAAAGATGGAGTCATTACTAATGGAGAAAACCCTACTGTTCAGCCAGAATGCTTCTCTCTCATGCTTAGAAATGCGTTATGCAAGCTACAAGTTCGCTGTGAATTGTAAGCACTAGCCAGATGTTACATTCTCTAGTTGTAAATCAGAATCATAGGTTAGCTAATATTTTATACTTGTCAAAATTTACTCAATGGAGATTGTGGGCTTGCCAACTTGCTATCAATCAAGAGCACAAAAAATGTAGTAAGATGTAGGACTGGAAATTAACCTTTGACAGGTTGCGTCCATAAGTGTTCACTGCTCTCTCAATTGAAGAGTAGACCTCCAGAGCCTGATCTGTCTCATGGCTGCATTTTATCACACGAACCTGTTCCTTTGCCTCTGTTGGTTTACTCCGTGAATAAAGAATAAGACGTGAAGGTGGAGCTTTTGGTTGGTCCTTCTTCCCATGAGTCAATTCCATGGTCAACAAGTCATCCCATAGAACATACCACAATACTGAACACGGATCCCTTGCCGGGCTGAATTTCCTCTGAGCTAAAATGTTGGATGGTAGCTGAAAATAAAAATATAAAGCTTCACACTCAAGGCAAGCCCTGCCTGAAATGGCAAATAATGGACAAGGAAATACAACACTGATGCTTCTTGCCAAGGAAACTTACTTGCAGCAGCAAGACTCTTCGATGTGTTACCACAACGATTTTGCATTTAGGGAGCATAAAGTGATCTTCATAAGCATCTGATAAGGCAAACTTCCCACGCACTTTAAATAGATCAACCTGGCTGAAAAATGAACCTGACTCTGCCAGCTGCAAAATAACCTTCAAGAAGAAAAATGTGGAAGGGATTCAGAGCAGTGATAATATTTACATGGCACCTTATAAAAGAAATGAACCTTCGTATCTATGAACAATAACAAATAAATAAGTTCCCTATGCTGAGAAAAAAAGTTTTGCGTGTTTTAATAAGATAACAGGACAGGTGTCAAAATAAGTTCCCACACATTAAAACATTGTGGGAGTCAGTAATTTACTCAGGTGAAAAAAATAAAAAGAAAATCATGCAAGTGATACACTTTCATTGCAAGGGATTAACCACAAGAAACAATAATGAGTTTTCTTGGAGAACTATGCATTTTATCATTCTTTCCTTCATGTCCCCTCCTCTCTCCCTACTACTATCTTAAAGAGAAATTCTCGTCTGCTAGATATACAAACATCTAGATGCAAGAGATTTAATATATCTATACCATCTCGTATGAAAGAATTGGTCAAATTCCTAGTGCATCAGAACCACAACTACTCATTAAAATACCAGAAAAGTCAAACTATGATCTGTAAATTACAAAAGCAGGGCTACCTGTCCTTGGGCTTTGTACTCATTGTAAGGTCGAAGCAAATTATCGCCACCAATAACACGAGGCAACCTCCGGCGGAGCAGTTGTTCTTCTGAAGTTATGGCGGATGCTATCTTCATTCTCATAGCATTGGCCCCTTCTGTAGTTTTTGACAAAAGATCCAAAACCCCGCTGACTGGCTGGGCAGCTGCACCTATTATTCCTTTTCCAACTCCCTGAACAAAACCCTCAACGCCTGAATTTTTTGCACCTTCTAGAGGCTTTGTTAGAATGCCAGTAACTCCTCTAAATAGTCCTTTCGCTAGCGCTCCACCTCCCTCCCTAATGACATCACCAAGGTCCTCTACACCTTTGTTTTCCTGGAAGACAAATGTAAATTTCAAAATTCCAAAATATAATTACACGATGGCACAAGGATATATCAGATCGAATAGAGCAAAAACATGCAGACATGAATGGTATCTGGTTGGCTATGACAAAGCCTTCCATGTCAGCCAAACTTTGGTATCCTGGCACCTACCCAGTCTCCAGGATGAGGCGGCATAAATTTTTTCATAAAATTCACCAACATGCTTTATCAACCACACTCCATCTAACGAGAAAATAAATAAATAAAGATCAGTGGTATAAAGAAATTCCTCAAGCTTCCTTTGAGGTGCCATTGCAAACTTGCTGGAGTAGTTAGTGAATGAAAACACAGGTCATACTGTGAGCTGGGGCCTTATGATTTATGCTGTTATGCAAAACAGCAATTTGACGAAACAAGAACAAATCCATATACACCATAATTAGCACAGAAATATATTAAAATGTATATCGCTTGGGATTCCTACTCAAATTCATATCAGATGAGCCAGTGATTGGATGATTCATCCATAAAAAAACAACACAGATGCTGCTAATCATTCAGAACATGGTGCTTATAATTAACACTATATAGTTCTTGATCCGGGTAAATATCTTTTCACTCATGGAAAAATCAAGAGAAGAGAAATCAAGATTTTATTGCAGACCTGTCTCTGCCGACTTTGGATGAATTTTTTATCCATTGATAAGGCAGCCACACCTTTACTCATATGTCCAAGGGCACTGCTTGCATTGCCCAATATATCAACACCAGAGAGCAGTTGAAGAGGTTGGCCAAGAAGATCCTTTTTAATGTTTGAGATAGCAATACCAATCATAGTACTTTGTCTCATGCACATGTTCTCATTAAATCTTTGATTTAGTCTCACCTGATCAACACATAAAAAGCAACTCATATTTGGTATTTCAATTATAATAATATGCAAAAGGCATGTGAGCCTATGAAACAATATTAGCTTTTCTCAAGTGTTTAGCACAATGAAATAACAACCTTAATGGACATTTCAAACACAGGTGCAAAGCTTAATAGACAGGCACAATGCTATAGATCAAAGGCAGTGAGCACAACAATAAGCCACCACAAAATACCCAGCCCACATTAGCAATGACTATGAGCAGTCAAGCACAAATGGATTGAACTACCAATAAATTTGTTGTGTATTCAGAAGCAATATTTGGATAACTGATGACCAAACTAATTCAGCATTTTAATCTTGGATCAGTACTCAAGGTAGTAGTCATATATGCTCCGGGGAATTTGACAGTCAACATTAAAAGAAGATCTCAGGACTTAGAAAAAAAATGAAGATCAATTGTATCACTTACAGGCATATTCTCAGTGTTACCCAAAGCAGTCATCAAGGACGAACAGAACCCAAGTACTCCTCTTGGCCTTTGACTAGGTGACATAGCCATTGAGACTTTGAATCGAACTTCAGAGATGTTAAGAACACTGTAATCGGAAGAATATTAGATTAAAACTAAGTTTGACTCTGTGCAAAAGCTAAGTTTCAAGATTTTGGCATACCCAATTTGAATAATTGGATCAACTGACACAGCGGTTGTCTTTGTATCATATAACCTACTGAGGTTGACCCGCTGGAACATCTCATGAAGGCGCCAAATGATCAGCTCATGAATGTTTATTAAGAAGGCAGAATTTTCAGGTCCCTGTTAAAAGAAACGAGTGAATAATGATCTGTGTACAAAAAATAATGTAAAAAAAGTTTAACACAATTAAATTTAAGACAAACTCACAGTGAAACCAATATAGGGATAGAGAGATAAATCTAGAGACCCATTTGATTGCATTGTCATGAAAAACTTCAATATAAAGTCTCTATCCTCCCCAACTTTCTGTGGCCTGAAGAGAACTGGCATTGGAGTCAACGGCAACTGGTTATCCATTTGTATTCCATGCATTCGTAACTTCAACCTATAAGAAAAAACAATACAAAAGTTGGGATTTCAATCATTATGCATCATCAGAAGTAAACTCTAGAAACAAACCTAGGACAATTCAATTGCAGGAATCTAGGTGATTAATTTTCCCAAGCAAAATTCAAGAAGGTTGCAACCACTGAAGAAAAAAATTGCTCTTTCAACTTCCCAATTCAGATAATTGAAAAAAAAAAGTATATAATCTACACACTCCAGATGCTAGAGACAAAGAAAGTACACAGGGGAAAAATTTCTTAGAGAATTGGTACAGAAACTTCTTATCATCAACAATCACTAAGCTAGGCATCATCTGGAGCTCTTCAATATAAATAGCAATACCCTGTTCCAGCTTCATAATCTATGCAATCCTAAAAGTAAACAAAAAACCTGTACTCAAACAGTGTCACAAAATTACCTAACAAGTATAGATGCACTTCATGGTATTCTAAACCTGTACTCATTTGGATGTCCATGAGTATCACAAAAGATCCACTCAAACCGTTGAGGATTCAAAAGTAACAATCAACAATTAAATGCCATAGTACTTTAGTGGGAGCACCACTAAAAGCTATTGATATCAGACTAACAGTTTGGTCATTTTGATGTCTCAACAACTATTTCATAATTTGGCCACAAGGAACAGGAATGGAGATTCTTTAGGAGAGAAGTGTTTATGAGAACCATGCATGCATTCAAAATGTTTTTGAAAGCAATAACATAAACTCTTGCTCACCCCTGATACTCCACTTTGTAAAACTACATTGAAGATGGTAACCTGACAAATGGTTTTACAGAATGAAAAATCAATTTAAAGTGTGTCTTACCTACTAAACCCAGATCCCAAACCAGTAGAATATGCTAAAAGAAGATTCTGGACTGAGAGATATAAAATTTCCTCAGGCGTGTGGTCAATGACAGATATTCCAAGCTCAGCAAGCTCAAGAACAACATGAAATTCACAACCAGTGGAGGATGGCAACTGCTGTTGTAGAGAGTCATTTCCAGAAAGTTGTGATAATGGTGGTTGGACTCTTCTACCAATTATCAAAGAAGGTTCATTTTCTGGCATCCAATCACTGATCCTGACAATATTCATTTTGTCTTCCTTAAATACAGTAACACGCAATGCTCTAGCAGGACGACCCTCTGCATGATTGGGTTGGTGATCAAGAATCTCATCAATATTGTATTTCAATGAGTTTGGCGAATCTGTCCCTTCAATTAAAATTTCCAATAATCTTGGTCTACCCAAGTCTTCCCATAAGAAAGAAGCAGCTGCATTTGGAAAAAGAGGCTTCCATGAAGCACTGGTACCATCCACTTGCCGAAAGCGAATGGGTAAAAACAACGAACGATTTTCGATCCTGTAATATTAACTTGATTGTTACTATAATTAGAAATCTTTATAACTTGACAAATTACAATTTTTAGCAAGCTGTATAAAACAAAACAAAAAAGGTACCTCCTTTTAGGGGAAGAAAAAAACTATTTTTAATCTTGACCAAACACACTAATTTTCTATATTTCATATCAATGGACAAAGAAGTTCGAGAAAGTTCTGCCAGAACTTATGCTAATGGGGAAAAAAATAATAATAATAATCCTAAGCATTCCAAGTAAGTATATTACATAAGCAACTGCATGAAACTCTGCAAGATTCCAAAACCTAAATAATAACAAGAACAGACAGGAAAGCTGGATAAGATAGATATGTGAGTATATATAATAACCTGTAAGGACTAGACAAAGAGTTCGGGCGGAAAATAACTTCATAGCGTGACCTCTTTGTGTCACTTCTTACTTGTACCCTCAGCTGCAACTGATCATCCCCTGAATCTTTCTCCAAGGAGATGCGCATCATTCCTTCACTACAAATGCTAAATGGAGAGCTCCATTTGTATCCATCCACTCGTAACTGAAACACAAAATCCAAGGATAATATGTTATGCATTTGCATTGCCAGTGAAGAGCAATTTTTCACTTTGCACAGACCTTCAGCAGCTCAATGTCGGAAGAAGAGTGCCATCCAAAGGGTTTTGGAGCATCAGCAGGGTGAATCCATTTCTCCAGCTGGGAACCACATTGCTGCAGGCAGAGACTGAAACCCAACCTATTGATAAACAAGGTGTGTGGCTGAATATGAACAACCTGAGTATCATCGCAATTAAGAGCTGTTAACTAAAAATTGAATCATCACCTCTGAAAACATTAACAATTTAAGATAACTTCTAATTCCTGGAAAAAAAAAATGCAAATTCTCACATTTTTTGCTGTCAATATATAGTTCTCAGGTTTTTAACCTTGAGCATTTAATCCGAACTTTACTTGCATGGTTATTTATTTATCTCTAAGGATTACCAATTATCGAAAGCTGAGGCCACAAACTATGTTGGCAGGTATTCATGTTTCCCCACAGATTGCCAGTAAAAATTTGCTAATTGGAGTATGGCAACAGATTGCCACAAAAAAATACATAGAAGTTGCTGTTGAAGCATCCTCCCCCAGCCCATACCATTATACATACAAATCCAACACTGGATGTCATCCGTAACTCTTCCAGGTATAAGCACAATAATTTCATGAGGAAGGAACAGAAGACCAGAAATAATAAAATAAAAAATAAAAAATCACGAAAGGACCTAGCATGTTGGGAACAACACAGAGAACCTAGGTTCCCTTTCAGAAGTAGATTTTTGTCAGTTTCTACTATTGATCGCCTCGATGGAGGTAGCATCAGAATCCATTATTTGACTCATCAAAAGATGCAAATTACCAATCAGTCCAGGCTGAAATACATTTCATGATCTAAATCAGAAAATGCGATCTGCATGTATTGTCACATGGCTCTCTTAATAGAAATAAATGCTGGCACAGCTTTGTATAGTACGGAACTATTAAGTAAAACACTTTCCCAATTTATGGACACGAATACGAAAAGCAAAGTATCACACGAAAGCACAACATGTATCTGTGTGTGCTAAAAGAACAAATGCCATAATGTAGGACAACCTTTGTTCTGTCTGAGGTCTTCATTAATGCTGAAAGCTTGTAATAAGATCCATCTGAACCAAATGCCTTGATGTCAACCCTTTCCTGAAGAAAAATTTAAATAGTATTACAAACTAAGATATAAATTTCAAGCAGAAAATAAATAGGAATCCTAAATCGTAAAGTTAATTTAATTGTCCGACTATATCACCTTCTTTTCCAGTTCAAGAAGAGAAATCCCAGGACCATAGATCTCAGAATGACGAATAGCTACTGCAAGGCCCACTCGCGGGGACAGAAATGCATCTTTTTGAGATGGAAATAACACAATCCCTCTCTGGCCAGCAGAGTCTTGAGGAGAAAGCATGCTAGGTATTGGGCTGGTATCCTCAATCACTTCAAGTACTTGGATGTTTCTCTTTGTGCCAAATAGCCTCTTTTCCATGGAGCTTGTGGGATTTTTAAAGGAAGTTTTCGCAGACTTAACTGCCTCTAATGGCTCAATCTCTACCACTCGATATGCCAACGGTAGAGATGAATCATTTATGATCCAATATGGCACAAATAACCTAATTGTTTTGGGAGCTGAAACGGTTCCTCCCAAGTCTCGTTCAATGCTCACACGCAGTCTCCTGCACAGACAGCAATTATGGCAAATATGAAACAACATAAAAATAAAAAATATTGTGATGATTAACAGCCACATTCTGTACAACATGAAAAAATCATGAAACAGTCAAGGCAACATTTTGAAGGAAAGCTTGCAAAAGTAATTCTGTTTTTACACTAATTCATAGGAAATTTATTTTATTCTTAAAAATAAAGAGAGAGGCGAGAAAACAGGCTCTGATTGCACCAAAAGGATGTACTAACAACAAGTGTTAGAAGTAATATTAAACCATCCGAATGCAAGACACTCTCAAACCCCATCACAAAATGATCAGTTCAAGCCCACCTTGTTTCCATAGAACTAATGGATACAAAAAACATGTCAGATTTATGAACAGTTGTTCACTTGGAGGATTGAAATTTTAGGTTATGAGGGCTTCATATCCAAATAACACATTGTTCCAATAGAATCCTACATTGTTTAAAATAATGTGGATGTTGACCTAAAATATTCACGTAATCTAGAGAAACATGCATGCAATCTTTTTTTGTTTTGGACTAAAACATGCATGAAATCTTGATTGGAAAAAGGTACCAAAATAACTTTACAAAATTACAGTCCAGTTTATACTAATACACCTTTCTAAAAGATTGATAAAGAAAAAGAAGGTAGAAATGATTGGAAAAGAGCAAATAAAAAGAAAAAAAAAGCAGAAAAATTAACTCAAATTAATCAATGTTGACTAATTTCACTAATGCATTCTTTTCCTGCAGTGAAAGAAAAATTTGCAGTTACATGATCGCAAATTGATAATGTATCTATCAAGTGGTTAGAAATAAAATCTAGCATGGCAGTTCAACTATTTATCCACCCAATCAGCGTGACAAAAAAAAAATGAAGTCGCACATCACAAACCTTTTACTTTGTTGGTGGACCATCCAGAATGATGAGATGTGGCCACTGGAACCAAGATCCAGAACAAGGGCAGGATCCTGCCAATAAGAATATGAACTGTAAACATCTCACATAAAAGAATATTTTAATCTAAAGAATATAAGTGTAACAAACATATATTTTGAACGAAATTTCAGATACAAAGAGAGCACATATGTGGACTGTAAATACCTTTTCAAGAACCCAACCACCCTGGAGAAGCAATGTAAGATAGACAGCTTTACGGATATCAGCTGAATATACATGTACACTCTGGCGTGAAGAGACTATACCATGTTGTCGCTCAATGCAACTCCCTTCTTTTGCATTTTCCCAAACTGTGAACTCCGCTGCACAAGGAAGTTGGTTTTCCAACTTCAACGGGGAGTTAACAGATATTCTCCAATCATAAACAGGAGCATTTAGTTCAGTGTGAAGGATTGAAGCATCAGCACACACACTGAGCCAAAATTCTGTACTTCCAGTAGTTGGGCGACAATGGAAAAGAACATCCTTCTTCTCCAGCTGATTCAGCATAAAAACATCAGGCGCTTTACTTTCCTGCAAAGTATTTTGTCTTGCGAGCAAGCCTTGATCACTGAAAGGTTGATCCTTCTCAAACATGTTGCCAGAAGCCATAGCAACTGCTCGGCCCCATACATATGCAGCCTGTGTATGATCAGCACAAGGACGTACTTGTAAACACAAATCAGAATCCTTGGCTGTGCTCCTCCATGGTAAAACAGATGAAGATCCAGGATTTATGGAAACAAAATCACTGTTCAAGCTATGTGATCGTTCCCCAATTAATTGTTGCCTCCTGCGAATCCAACGCCTTCGCCGCACAACATTATGAGCAGATTTATATGACTTTGAAGCCGGAGGCCACTTCAATGTATGGAAGTCAGGCCCATATGTCCAACCATCATCATCAACAGGTTCAGATTTGTCAACAATCCATGAAGATGTCCATTGCCATCCAGTAGGCAGGCGAGGTTCAAAAAAATCCTTCAAAATAAAGATAGAAAGATGAGCATACACGCTATATAGCCAAAACTAAACAGTTAGTCGACAAACATACACACCTTCGATGAATACGAGAAGTCCCTGGTGCTCCATCGCCCTGGATCATTACTTCGAAAACCAGGCCACTTGTTACCCCAACCAGAAATTGGGTGATAACGCTGATTTTCAAAGATTTCTTCTATCACAATGTTTAATTTACTTGTTCCTAGAGAAGGATCACGACCATGAACCAACGACACATGGCATATAGAAATATCTAATTTAACATCCGAATCATTTACTGCGATTGCAAGACCCCTAAAAATTGCGTGCTTTTTGCCATTTTTCATGACAACTTCCATGGCAAGAAATTCATTATGTAATGATTTGGGTACAACGGACAGAGGAAGTAATGACCGAATGCTCTCCCATGCACCTTCCGGGCTAACCCGAACCCAAAAACCAACATCCCTATTATGAGATTCCTCAGTTTCTTTATCTCTCTGAAAGTTTGCTGCCACATTTCTCTCAAAATACGCAGTAGAAACTAACAGATAACCACTTTCATGCATGTTTTCAACATTGTCATGTGGAGCCTGAAAGAGTAACAGAAGAAAATAGAATAAACACCAAGACAAAAAGTATATAAGTAACTGTACTAAACACACAAGAGAATTAGTAATAAGCATAGCTCACCCTTCTTCTTAAAGGACAGGACACAATATTCTGAAAATCATGTGGTTGATGTAGCATCCTTGCCGAAGCCACCTTCTTCAATGTGACTGCACCTTGTCCAACAGGTAGGGAGAGGGCACCTACAACTTCACCTGCATCATAAGTGTCCAATTCTAAGCACAGAAAACACATCTTACTTTTAATCAAGTTCAACTCCATAAGGTCATTTCAGCTGACACAAAAATTCCACTTGACAAAAACTTAAAAGAGGGAAAAAAATGAAATCTCGACTGCTGCAGCTGACTGCACAAAGAATTCTAAAATAGAATTAATCCACTTGGTATGTATATCACATCACAAACATTAAATATGTATAGATAGAAATACAGGATGACAAAGAACAGATCCATTCATAAGGTGAAAGCATAGTAAAACATCAGACACTAGAAGTGTCTAAGGAGACAAATGGTCAAGGGTACAAATGAAATAAGAGAACGTCCATGGGATTGCTCACCCAGGAACTGAAACTTAAAATTTTCCAAATGCTTCAAATGATTCAGAAGCCCAAGAGATGGACAGAAAAACAACGAGAATCAGATTCAATATATGTATAAGATACTATGGGGAGAAAGCTCTAATTAAGAGATTATTGATCTACCAACAATACATACCCTTCCCAGCTTTTGCTGCAAGATTTGTCACCTCCACTTCTAACTTAGCAACTCCCTGCTACATTCACGAAATATTTCCATAAAATAACTTACAAAACTGATGAAGAATTCAGAACAGAAATAATGAGAAAAAGGGAAATACTGATTACATAAAGTCAGTAACAGAAAGGTAAGTTTGAGATACAGTGGAAATAAATGTTCGACATCCATGATACAAAAAAAAAAGAAAAAAAAAAAGAAGAAGAAGAAGAAGAAGAAGAAGAGAGGCTTGCTCCCCAGTTGATATAATCATAAAGGAAAAGAAGGGTAGGTGTAGCTTGTAGAAAATTGGCCAGCATACGATTGCCTATGCACCTTCGGTCTCAAATTTAAATGTGCTTTACAGCTACAAATGGACCCAAACAAATCTGTAAATTTTCAATAGACAGATAAAAGTAAATCCATTTATCAAATATTTATTTGTCTTTCTCCAAACACAAATCTATATGGGGCTAAAATTTAAAGACATTGCCAAAAAATGAGGCAAGAAAGAAAAGAGGATAGACCTTTAATTGTTTCATCTTACCATTCTATTCTAAGCAACAACACATCATGAAGTGAGTGTGGTTACAAAAATTCAACAGCAGCAGAAATGTGCCAACCAATGATCATAAAAAACCTAAAAAAACCTGCCACTGCAAATTTATGCAACGAGTGATTCTCAAGAACACATGATCATTTACAATTAGGAGTAAGAAAAGTACAGCTAAGGTTGTGTTTGGTACCATGTTAAAAAACAGGTGAATAATGAATTTGAGGAAAGAGAGAAAATTACAAGGTTAAAGAGAGAACGGATGGGTTGTAAATTTAAGAGAGAGAAAAGGCGGAAAACACAAAAATCCCCTCCCCCACCTAACTGGAAAAAGAAGAAGAAGAAGGAAAAAAAAACCCTTTTACACACCCAACTGCACCCTTTTGGTGGTGGTGGTGGTGGTGGTGGTTTGGAGGGGGTGGCTCTTGCGTAGTTTTTAAACTCCTTAACGATTTCCCGTTACAAATTTGGCACCAAACAACATTAATAGTTGCCATTGTAACATTCAACCTATACATACCCTAACTTGTGATGAAACCCTTGATTGAATTACCTATAAAGAAGCTGTCCCAAAGTAAAGGGTACATCTCTACTCTGATATTGTAGGGGGAGGGTATTTGGGTGGGAACCGGCTGCTCTACCGATGAACTAAATAGGCCAAGATTTTAAGGCCCAAAATTCATTCCAAGATTGTTGCCAATTGTGGCATTAAGTAAATACAAGTAGCAATCAATAGATGCTCAGAATGTATAAATCTAAACCTTTAAAGATGACTATTTCCTATGCCGTTCACAAACTGATGCTTGAAGACCAAACTTTCGTGAGGTGCCAATTAGTTATCCATGACAACGAATCAATAGCAACATATCTTTCACACTTTAAGAACAGATATGAAAACAAAGAGAAGTATGGAGTGAACAAATCAAAATATAATATACCTTTAGAGGAATTTCAAATATGAAAAGTTCATTCCACTTTGCAGTAGCACAACTGATTTCACTTGCTTTTGGAAGTAAAGGCTTCACACATTTTGTCCTTGCACTCTGAGGAAAAAGTTTTTGCTGATCGGTTGCCTGACTATCAACAACAAGGCGCAGAGCACAAAAGAACTTCTGACTGTTACCATCATCAACAATGGGCAAACCCTGCAAGAAGTAGGAAGACTCATCTTTACTCCGCAACACAGTAGTAAAAATATACAACCACAAAGTGGAGGACAAACTAAAAAATTTCAACAGTTGTAACCTTGGCTTCAAGTATCCGAATGACAACGTAGCTGCGTGCTTCCCTAGATTCATCCACAACCTTTAATCTGTCTGAAAATCTTGGAGGTGGAATCCACACAGAAGCACAGTCATCACTGTGTAGTTGGTCACCTGTATCTGTACTGTCCGCAATCTGTTTCAGATACAGATCACACCCGAGTTTATTTTCAATTATTACAGTCTGAAAGTCATCCTCATCCAAGGCAGAATAAGTTGGGTCCTCTTCATGTTTATGATGATCACCAGCTACCTGAAAAAAGCAATTCAGTGCCATTTAGAAAGCATCTGTTTGTATGTCAAAATATGATCAACTCAAGACACTTTAAGAACATTAAAGAATAAAACATTTACATTTCATTTTTACCTCATTTAGCTTGGCTGCTTTCTGATCAAGTTCTAACTGTTTTCTCCAAGAGAGAATGGTCCCTATTAAAGTTTCAAGATTGGCTGCACTGACATTTATGTTCAGGATACTGGTTGCAGCAACCCGTACTCTCTTTGCAAGTCTTGATGGTGGATGTACATTGTTATCATATGTTTCAAACCTTAAAAGGAGAAATAAAAGAATATCAAAGGAAGGGAAGTAGATCAGCTAAAACCGGTGTAAATCAAAAGCCACATGACAATAATAATCAATATAAAAGATTACTTAAATATTCCATCAAACGGCTCCACAAGTGGCTCCCATGCTTCTAATTGAGCATTGAAGGTTGAAGCAGCAATAGAGGAAATCAGCACAGCATTCATTGCCTCTAGACGACCATGTGTTGCAAGCTTGATATTGGTTATGGTAACATCAAATAGAGGTGTCATCTGGAATTTCCAAACTTATCATAAGAATAAACTAGAAGAAAAAAGAAAACAAATTCTCTAGAGCAAGGTCTAGCATGTTCTATTTCGCATAACTCATGTACCATTCCACATAAGCTGTCTAAAACAGTCATGGAGAAGCATCCTAGCTTGATCTCGGCAGTTACATTTTCCCGTGACTTTGGCTTCACAGAATCAGCAATTGTGAATGCCAACCGGCTTGATGGTTTTTTAAGATCCGAACGGGCAAGAAAAGTGCATGCCTACAGAAACATAGGATAGGATAAATGTTATAATTTCATTCACTTCAGGAAAACTTTAAAAATGGATCAAAACCATGGATTCTGAAATTTTAAGCGCTAAATTTTAACATATAATTTGTTGAAAAATACTAAGATCTCCACATACCATACATGAAACTGAGAAATTTTGACAAGCAGTTCATTTTTGCTTTTAACTTAACCTGATTTTCAATTTTCCAAATGCTCCAGCACTGAGATGCCTTTGAGCTTGAAGATCTCGAAACAGGCACCTCAATGATATTAGCTTGGTTGACAAGATCCAACCTCGGGCAGCAAAATGAATCTATACGTGGTGCTTCATCTGTTTTTGTGACAACGCACCCTAGTGAAGCATAACCAGGAGGAGCAATTGGAAACCAGAAGAAGACTTCATCAACACCTTTCCCAACAATATTGGCCACTTTAGTGAACTGGACGGGCTTCGAGGAAATTTCAGGATTGCCATCCTTGAATATTATGCCCAAAGCAGGTGGCTCTAAGCTGGAAGAAGAAAGGGTAGTACCACAAATTCATAAGTGGAAAATCATGAAAACAAAGACAAATCAACATGGATATTTAACAACAAAAAAAAGGATAAAAAAATGTCTGACCTTTCAGTTATGCAATCTCCTATTATGGCATAACCAGGCCGTGCAATAGGTCGCCATATTGAGACAGGTCGACGGATCTCACTACCTTTGTCCCACCATATTCTCTCAAAGTTAGGAGTTGACATATAACAGTTAGTTGCTTTTGAAATTGATCGAATAATGTCCCATCCATACGAATTAGCACTATCGTTACTTGTTTGACTCCCATGGTCTCGGTCATCAGTCAAATCTGATGCAGTTTCTTTAGATGGAGATTGATTTCGGATCGAGTTCCACAGAAGAAGATGATTCAGATCACAACTACTGTCTCTAGGAGGGTATTCGGTTGAAGAATGAGCATAAAAAGATGCAATGACGTTGTCCAGACGCCAAATGCTAAAACCAGATGCAGACTGAGGATTAGGTGGGGCACTAAAAATGCATTCTGAATACGTTGTAGATGCTACAAGATCAGTTCGTAGGCAATAAACAATGTGAGTTGGTGGCGGTTGGCGTCCTACATGTGCTACACAGCCCAATGCTGTATAACCAGGAGGTGCGACAGGCACCCAAAGAGAACAATCACCATCAAAACCAGAATGGCTTTCACCTCCGAACCCGAGAATACCAGATAATAAGGCAATGAAATTGAACCCAACAGGTTTTCGCACGCGTCCGTATGCATCACTAACTGCCATGACTGCCTGTGAAGGAGGAATTGGCCTGATAAATGAAAATAACCGAAATTAGGAAAACATAATATCTAAAAGATGATACAAAAGAACGTTTATGTTCAGGCATCTATCAAAAACAATACTAGAAGAAAATGAAAAAAGTTATGACGAAGCATTAGTATAGCCATTTTATAATTTTCTTTAAAAAAAATACATAAATATTCAAGACAGGCGAATGAAATGCTCAGCAGAACTAGAGAGATGCACACAAATACAAGTTCATACTAAATCAAAGGTAAAATAGAAAATTTGCACTGGTCATCAAAAATAGTAAAAGTCTCCAGCAAATCTTCATTGAGTAAGTTACATCATCGACAGCAAAGTCAGGAAAAGTAACTTAGTGAAAAGGAGGAAAGAAGGTGATTGAAATGAGAACAGCACATAAAAAAATGAATTAGTCAATTATTGTAGAGTTTAGAAAAATAATTACCAAAGATGATGCAATCTCTGATATGTTGCAGTATTTTCTGAACTAATGGATTCATTTGTAGAACATTTTATAGTTTTCGGACAAATTGTATGAGATCAATATCTTGAACTAAACAGGTGAGATACATTAAAAAAAAAATGATAATATTCATACTTTCTAGTAACAAAGATTTAGGACAACAGGCTGGAGTTGAGAAATTGTTAGGAATTATTCCCCCAGACATAACATAGAACCAATACTCATCCTTGACAATCAGGAGTTCTTCAATATACCCCAGTTGAACAGTTAAAGCCAATCAAGAGGGAGCAAAAAAATGCTCTTCCAAGTAAATAATTCAATCGTGATAGAATTGAACTATGAAAAACTGAGATACATGCAAACAAGATGTACCCTACCAAGATAATCCTAACAGTGAGGTAGCAAATGTAAGCCACATGTCAGCTGAGATTACCTGATCCTCTCATTATACCATCACAATAATGTAAAGAAAAGGAATAAAAAAAAAATCAATCTAACGAACATTCAGTCATACTGAATTTTGTTTTACAAACAAAACAAAACTACACAACCAAAAGAGAAATTTAACAGCCAATTAATGTTACCTTGATGTCACACAATCTCCCAATATAACATAATTCGATGGAGGGTGAGGCCTCCAAAAGGTAAGGTTGTCATAACGGTCAATTTCTGCACAGATATACCCAAAACATTGCTAAGAGCACCAAAGAGTCAAGTCTTGGATAAGTAGGTACCACATAGTTCCATGGAAAAAAAGGCTAAAATAGTTCAAGGACAACCTCTAGGGGAGACCCAAACTTGGTCAAAGTTGGTGCAAGGTGCAAGGGGAATCGCATTTCCAAATTGCAACGCTGTAGTAGCTTGATTCAGCAAGTTAAGTAAAAGAGAAATGGCACTCAATGAAAGATGCACACATATATCTGTTGATATCAGAGACATGTTCGTTTTCTCTTTAACAGAGGTATATCCTCCTGAAACATCCACTGGATCAAGAATCATCAGACCAGAACCAGCCTCAACTGTCAGATCCTTCACAAGGGCTCGAATCCAGGTATCATTTTCTTTGGACGCATACCTGTCAAAAAAAAAAAAAAAAAAAACAGATTCAATAGATAAACAGTGCAACTCAGCTAGTAGTAATATTTCTTCCCAATATATAACTACCATCACATGCCATGCTGGTGGGGGAAGAGAAAAGGGGAGGAAGTTATATCATACTAACATACATATGCTAGTTGCAAGTATCACCAGTAAGGGTAGTTTTATAAATAGTCATCTGAATATCAATGTAACAGTTGTGAGACTTTAAATTTCAAATCGGAAACTTAACCCACAGTACTTTAAGAAAACGGGAAATTGAACAAAAAGGGACTGGTTTTCTTAGCTTAAAAATATGGAGCACAGAACAAACTTGGTCAACACTTCAACACTAAAGGATGTAGAACATTTTAAAAAATTAAAAAATTGTGAGGCACAGACGTCAGAACACTTCAACACTATAGCAAATGCTTTTTGCCAACGGGATTTTATTTATTAGCTTCCGAACAAACTAAAATGAGCAACAACAGTTTGCAAACAAATAAAAACGTAGTTCTTACATGAAGCTCAAATCCATTTTTGCTCTCAGAAGCTTTTCACCATATGAAGAATCATCCAGTGAAGATTTTGTACCATCATAGAAAGTGAACTCCGGAGAAACAACCTAAACACAGACACAACAAATGCAAATGAAATAGATCAGATCAAAACAGAAAAAACTGGATGACTGTAAATAAGCACTACTGATTCATTCTTACAAAGCAATATCAGCAAAATGATTCTATGCAGAAGACCTTACACCTTATAATCATCCTATCACAACAAGAAATTCCACTACCCAGTTAATTTTGCACAAATTTCAGCAAGGTCGTGTGAGTCAGAGGGTAATGGTGCAAAAGAATATGAAAAAAAGGTAGTTGGCAGAGCATCCATAATAGATAACAATATTCCATATGTCTCACTTTCTATGTAAACAGCCAATAACCAAAAAAGAAAATGGAACCATAAAAAGGGAAAGGGAATTTAAAGCCTAGAAGGTAGACAACTATGAGTACACAAGCTAATAAAAGTATAAAACAGCATCAACAAAAAAATTACCTGGGCTTCAAAAGTGAAACTCTGCATCATATTTGAATCATTATCAGAATAGGAAGAATTCAAGACCTCTGATTGTTCATGCATGTAATCCAGAATCCTCTTGTCATCATCAGATGGCAAATTGTCTAGCAACGAAATGTCAACACCATCTTCTACAGAGATCGAATAGCTGCTATCATTACTCAAGTATGCATACTTCCTCAAAAGGGAACCATTCTGATAGACAAAACCATTAGATGAAGTCAGTTGTTCATCTGGATGTTACTGCAAATAAAGACAGAACATCTTATATGCATGTCCATAAAGCCAAAAAAGGGGGAAAATGAAGAAAAAAATGATAATGAATTTTGCTCTCACGAATGAATTTCATTTTACAAGTTTGACACAAAAATGAGTGTATCTAACATCATGTTCAAGCATGAAAAGATGGGAGTATCTAGCCTATTCTCAAGTTTGACTACTAATTCTATTCAAAATCATACTTGGAACCTGTATTGTCAAGTGAAACTTCTTTCTGAGTACAATAGATTATTCCTCAAAAAACAAGAGAGACAGCAAGCTTTGTACTAAATAAACAGAGATACAAATCAACCATAAAGTAGTGATAATTGTTAAAACAGGTGGAAAGTGTAAGCTGTAAGTACCTCAATTTTAACATTGACAAACCGCAGCCTCTTACCACGTCCAAGAATTATGATCGGTCGAGACCTCCCTGAATGGAATTCCTTTGTATTTGTTTCTTCACTTAAACAGATAATCTTTCCACAACCATCATATACATATTCATCAACTGCCTTGGCATCTGCTACTAGCTGTCTCATTGGAGATAAGTGAACCACATCCTCACTCTGTTTGTAAACAGATTCAGAAAGCACTATGCTATTGCTTCTAGTAATAGGATCCTTCTTAGGATCCATTGATTCCTCCCTTCCAGTTATGGTTCCCAATGCTGGCACAAAATACTCACCCACAGCTAGAAGGAAGTCTGGTACAACAAGGACACGTGGCTGCTGGATGCGAACCACAAATGATTGGGAGGAAGGTCTCCGTCTATAGTCCATTAGGAACATTGTTGAATTTGGTGCATCAACCTCAAGGCCAGATTCAGAGTTCATTTTCCTAAACCCGCTCCTATTCACAGAGTATGGGATGTTTCCACCAGAAACTAGTTTGGAAGCATCAGTTGATGATCCAAGCATCAGGCGCATTTCAGGTTTTGTACCAGGCCGAATGTCCAAGATAGAAAATTTTGGAATAGTTACATAAAGATCTGTTTCAGACAATGAAGTCGTCCTGTATGATACCCAAAGACCTTCTAGCTGCGAAAGCAAACAATCACGCCAGGTAAGTACAAACCTTGCATGGTTGAAAATAAGAACAAAGTGGGAACACAAACATGTTATGGGTTCAAATATCTTACATCATGCCAAAGTAAAAATATGAACTATTACACACCCAAATACAAACGTCCAAAACTCAAGATGTGTGTTGATCAACAAAGGTACTAACCTCAAGATGTGCTAAAGGTGACTCGTGAACACCATTACACAACTCCAGCAGTGCATAATTAACTTCAACTGCCACTATGGTAACAGTTTGTGAGAGGAGGATTCCACTATTAGCATTGACCTTATCTGCCAGCAACCGCATTGCATCTTTAGAGTCAGATTTGCAGCCACGAAAACTTGGAGGAAGCCTTGGCTCTTCAAGTAAATTCATGTATGTACAATCGACAATTATGCTGTATTCTTTATCAGACATGACTCCACAAAGGAAATCCACCTGGTCAAAACATTGTCCACCCACAAGAATTACCAAACACGAGCAACAAAAATACTTGGCCACAAAAGTTAGAAGAAAAGGAGTGATACTGGATGCAAAAATCCCAGAAACAATTGTTACCTTAACTTCAAGAGATAATGTTGGGACTTTTCTAAAAACATCCCGCAAACTACGGCGCACGTAGATATCCAGTCCTTGGCCTTCTTGTATCATAGGCTTACCTAAACAAGCGTCAACTCCTACAGACATGTTGATTCCCTGAATCTGAAATTTTAAGACAGATTAAACAATAATTCAGAAATTGGAATTCTAAAATCATGGACAATCAACGAAAGAAATCTACCTCAGCATGAAGAACATCCATGTGGACAGCTGAAGGATCTTTCTCTGGGAATCCATGCCAACTAAATTCATTTGTTACCTGTAACTGGCCGAGATCAAGTTGAATGAAACTGCAATTGTGGACAACAGAATAGAATAGTTATGGTCATTCAACAGCAATAGAACTGCAAAAGATAGAAAGCAACAAACTTCCAAATAAAAAGAGAGAGGACCTCTCATCAAGGAACCTGTTAAAGTATTAAAAGATTTAGGGGTTTCTTTTGTCTGTGTTGGGGGGAGTGTAGGTGGGTAGAGGTCATGTGTTGGAATGGGAAATATTCTATTTAGAATATTCTGGGTGTATTTTAGGATGTAAATATCGGAATTTAAGGCTTTAATCAAGGAGTTTAGGAAGATTTATAACTTTAATTTCCTAGTTTGTAATTTTCTAGTTTAGATGCTATATGTAGCTATATATATGTAAGTTGTAATACCAGTAGATGTAAGGCAATACAATCAATATTTCCTGCTTCATATCAATTCACATGGTATCAAAGCTGGTCTATTTTCTCTAAGCAAAAACCCTAGCCGTCAACCACTCTAATTTATTTTCTTCCTCACCACCGTGTCTGAAATTACATCAAATTCTACACCCACTCTTGGCCATCCATCTACCTCTTACAAAACCAAAGATTCCTTGTGCCGGTCCCAATCTGTGCACATGTATATCCGCGACAGAGGAAAGATTGGGTATTCAACTGGTGAGAAGAATGAGGCAAACTTGAATGATCCGGCCTATCCAGTTTGGGATGTAGAGAACTTCATGCTCAAATCCAATTCTGGATTATCTGGTATTCCTAATGCTTTTTTGGCACAAACAGGTAGTGATTTAAATGTCTTAGCTTGTTACTCTTTATCACAATCTGCTCCATGGATCATTGATTCTGGATCATCTAACCATATGACAAGTTTTTCAAATTTGTTTCATACTTATGTTCCTTGTTCGGGTCATGAAAAAATTCGTATAGCAGATGAGTCCTACTCACCTATTGCTGGCAAAGGTTTGATTATTTTGTCAGATACTTTATCCCTTAAATTTGTTTTGCATGTACGAAAACTTGCATGCAATCTTCTGTCTGTCAGCAAATTATCAAAAGATTCTAATTGTAGTGTCACTTTTTTTTATTCCTATTGTGTGTTTCAGGATTAGAATTCGAGAAAAAAGATTGTCAATGCTAGAATGATCGATGGTCTTTACTATTTTGAAGATGAAGTCTCAAAGGATAAAAGACCTCAAGGACTAAGTAGTATCAGTTCTATCCCCGGTAAAGATAAAATAATGCTCTAGCACTATAGACTAGGGCATCCTAATTTTCTTTATCTTAAAAAATTGCTTCCTACCTTATTTAAAGGCTTGGATAGTTCTCTTTTTCACTGTGAACATTGCATTTTGTCAAAAAGCCACAAAAATATTTATCCTTCAAAACCTTATCAACCTTCACGACCATTTTATTTAATTCATAGTGATGTATGGGGTCCTTCACGGATCCCTACTTATTCGAGCAAAAAATGGTTTGTAACCTTCGTTAATGATCATACTAGGTTGTGTTGGGTATATTTACTAGCTGATAAATCTGAAGTTAAGACAGTATTCCAAAATTTTTATAACATGATTGAAACTCAATTTCAAACTAAAATTAGTATTTTTCATACTGATAATGGTAATGAGTATTTCAATGAAATTCTTAGAAATTTTTTTAAAGATAGAGGCATTCATCATCAATCCACTTGTGTTGATACACCTCAGCAAAATGGTATAACTGAGCAAAAAAATCAACATTTATTTGAAGTTGCTTGGTCTCTTATGTTTTCTATGCATATCCCTAAGTATCTCTGGGGAGAAGCAGTTTTAACAACAACATATTTGATAAACAGAATGCCTACTCGTGTACTTAAATTCATTACTCCTCTTGAGTGCTTTAAAAATTTCTTTCCTAAAAAACGAATCTCATCTAATTTACCCCTTAAAATATTTGGGTGCACAGCTTATGTTCATTTATCCAACAAGGATCAGTCCAAGCTTGATCCAAGGGCTGAAAAATATGTTTTTACTGGCTATGCGTCAAATCAAATGGGTTACAAGTGTTTTCATCCAAAGACCGTCCTAGTTACTATGAACGTTTTATTTCTTGAAAATCAACCTTATTTTCAAAAGAATTTTCTTCAGGGGGAGATTTTAGAGGAAGAAAATAGTCGGGACAATATACCTATTTTTACTACTTTATCTCAAATAGTGGCCTTCGCACCTAGTGTTTTCAAAAATGACAAAGCAATTTCTACTGATAAGAATACTATTTTGCCAGACATTATTGAATCTTTGACAGGGAGAGAAATACTACAAAATAATCCTAAGGATCAGGAACCTGAGGTCATTGTTTATGCAAGGAGAAAGAAACATCAAAAGGGTAAAGAACCTATCGTTCCTTCAGCACCTAGTCAATCCATTACCTCAGATTCAGGTACTCAAAACACTTCTCAAAATACTAATCCTCCTATTTCACCTCCTGTTTTACCCAATGCTGTTTCACCTCCTGTTTTACCCAATGTTGTTTCTCATGAATATTGTGATCTTGATGTTCCTACTGCACTTAGAAAAGGAACTCGTTCTTGCACTAATCACCCAATTGCAAAATTTCTGTGTTATGACCATCTCTCTCAAAACCATAGGGCATTTACTTCAAAAATCTCTAACCTGTTTGTTCCAAAAAACATTCAGGAAGCACTTGATGATCCAAATTGGAGAACAGCTGTGATGGAGGAAATAAATGCACTGAAGAAAAGTGAAACATGGGAAATTGTAGAGCTGCCTACAGGTCAGAAAACAGTTGGGTGTAAATGGGTATTTACTGTGAAATGCAAGACAGATGGTAGCGTAGAGAGATACAAGGCTAGACTTATGACTAAGGGATTTACTCAAGCATATGGTGTTGATTATCAGAAAACCTTTGCCTCAGTAGCCGAAATTAACTCTATACGTGTTTTATTGTCTCTTGCAGTTAATTTCAACTGGGTCTTATACCAACTAGATGTGAAAAATGCTTTCCTGAATGGTGATTTGGAAGAGGAAATCTTTATGAGTCAACCTCCTGGTGTTGAAGAGTTTGTTGGTCAAAACAAAGTTTGCAGACTTAAGAAGTCATTGTATGGCCTCAAACAGTCTCCAAGGGCATGGTTTGAACGGTTTGGGAAGACTTTAAAAGGATATGGGTATCATCAAAGTCAGGCAGATCATACTCTTTTTTATAAACACACTGATAAAGGGAAGATAGCAATCCTTATTTTATATGTTGATGACATGATACTAACGGGTGATGATCTTGATGAATTAACAAGATTGAAAAAGAGACTAGCTGAAGACTTTGAGATTAAAGACCTAGGAACATTGAAATATTTTCTTGGCATGGAATTTGCAAGATCGCGTGAAGGAATCTTTGTAAATCAAAGAAAATATGTCCTTGATTTACTGAATGAAACTGGTCTTCTAGGTTGCAAGGCTGCTGAGACTCCAATTGAGGTAAATCTCAAACTAAATCCTGCTAAAATTGAGGATGTGATTGAAAAGGAGAAATTTTAGCGCTTGGTGGGCAGACTTATATATATGTCGCACACTCGCCCTGATATAGCATTTGTAGTAAGCATGATTAGCCAATTCATGCATGCACCAGGGCGCGAGCACTTTGAAGCTGCCTAATAGGATACTAAAGTATCTAAAAGGGACACCAGGAAAGGGTTTGATATTTAAAAAACATGATCACTTTCAGGTGGAAATCTATACTAATGCTGACTGGGCTGGTAGTATGACAGACAAGCGATCAACATCTAGATATTGTACATTTGTTAGAGGAAATTTAGGTACTTGGAGAAGTAAGAAGCAAAATGTTGTGGCACGAAGTAGTGCTGAAGCAGAATTTAGATCCCTTGCACAAGGGATTTGTTAAATTATGTGGATTAAGAAATTGCTTGAAGATTTGAAGCTTCCTGCATCACTTCCTATGAAAATTTATTGTGATAACAAAGCTGCCTTTTCAATTGCTCATAATCCGATTCTTCATGATCGGACTAAACATATTGAACTTGATAGGCACTTTATCAAGGAGAAACTTGAAAGTGGGCTAATTTGTATTCTTTATATTCCTACTGCTCAACAAGTGGCTGATATACTCACCAAAGGTCTATTGAAAAAACAATTTGATTTTCTGGTAAGCAAGCTGGCAATGGAAGACATTTACAAGCCAGCTTGAGGGGGAGTGTTGGAATAGGAAATATTCTATTTAGAATATTCTGAGCGTATTTTAAGATGTAAATATAGGAATTTAATGCTCTAATCAAGGAGTTTAGGAAGATTTATAGCTTTAATTTCCTAGTTTGTAATTTCCTAGTTTAGATGCTATATGTAGCTATATATATGTAAGTTGTAATACCAGTAGATGTACGGCAATACAATCAATATTTCCTGCTTCATATCAATTCACATCACGGGTGGGTTTGAGGAAAGGAGAAGGAATACAATTAAACATGAACCTTAAACCCTAGAAGTTCCTTTAACTACTGATTTTCTAAATAGCTCAATTGAACCTTAAATGTCATGAACAAAAGTGAAATTCTACATACTCTTTGCTGGTGGAATTCCTGGGAACAATGATAATAGGAGTGTCAAGAGAGAGATCCAACTTTAATGCAGTGGCGCCATCAATCTCATACTTCTGAATTAACCACTCAAAGCCTCCTACTTTATCAACAAGCTTTATTGCTTCTTCAGTGTTTGGGGTAGCAAGTTCCATAAAGTATGCAGTTATCTGCAGAAACATGGGATCCATACAGCCATAGCCCATAAGGTAAGAACATCCAATTCTTTTCAGGAAAAAGAAGAGGAAATGAAACAAGCAAATAAAACATAGATATGTTGTAAGGCAGAGACCATGAGAAGCTCAACCACTACAAACGCTACCAGTTAGAAATTAATAAGCACAGATAGATATGCAAACAAAGATATCACTGCACCCTGAACCAAAATAATTACCAGCTGTATTCTAACTCACCTCCTGGACAAACCTATAGAGGAAAATAATGCGTACAGCAGAGAGTCGGCCACTCAACTTGTAATCATATCCTTCATAATCATCATCTTCAGCACTATAGGAACTAAAATTGAACTGAAAAAGAAAAAACAAGTTACCTATTCTTTTACATATAAGAAAAGATTCATTACTGAAAAGAAAGAACCATTTTACCAGAAAATTATTAGAAGCTAAGATAATATAAAACGTCGCATTGAGGTTATGGAAGTGAGTACCTTGATAAGGGACTCAAGCCCTGGATTACGAATATCACAAACCCAACTCCAACAGTGATTAGTTTCTGGTGACATATCACAGAGCCTGAAATTTCCTAATGTGCCTTCAATAGAAAGAGAACTAGGATGGACCTTAAGAATCAAACGAATGAAGTCAGAAACACATCACAGATAGCATTTTCAAATCTTTTAGACAGTAATCAGGATTCATGATAGCATTTTCAAATCTTGCAGTGATATCGGAGTAAGAGTTGAGATAAGTAAAGGTTGTTAATAAACATAATTTCCTCACCCTCAGATCCAGCAGGAAACTTTCCTGCACAAGCATAGCGAGCTGAGAATCATCCTCCTTGTTGAGAAACACAGTGACACTGTCAACATTCATGTTTAAATAGAACACTATACGATTTTTACCATACCCCAGCAGCCCTTTAACACGCCCTGTGTCTTCAGTCATTTCTTTCAAGGAAGACTTATCATCTGAGATTTCAGTCATGTCAGTGCCACTCTCAGAAGAATTCACGTTACTTATGTCAAAACCGAAACCAATTAGAGCAACAAGAGCAGGTCTGTTGCAGAAGAACTCTAGTTTGGACATACGAATGCTCATCTGAAAAATTAAAAGATATGGATCATTAAAGCAATTTTAAGCATTAATTAACAAGCACAACTAAAAAAATCTGTAATGTCAATTTTGATACCTGTGTATCTATACCATCATAATCAGGTGAGGAAGAACTCCTCGTTGAAAAAATAACAGATACAAAATCAAAACTGTCACTGTCCTGTGCCTCATAAAATATATCATCAGAAATGTTTTTTCCTTGTAACAGACCTTGCTCGAGAATAAAGGATTCAGGAGACTCGAATTCTGTTGAGTCACTAGCATCTCCCATAATTCCAGAATGAGACACGTCCATTTTTGGTGAATAAATGCCACCATCTGCTAGAAACAAAAAATCAGGCAAAGCATCCTTGAAAGCATCTTCCTCATCATGAGGTGCTATAGGCATCCCCATCCCTTGAGAGGATGCAAGAAGCTTATCATTCTTCAGCACTGAGCAGGCTAAATATCTTGGGTTAGCAAAGAGACGGCTCTCAAGCTCATCTTTAATTTTCAAGGAGTGCAGCTTCATCTTTACTGTAAGGTCACTCTCTGCACGAATCATGTGCACCTGCAAAACAATGAAGTTAAAAAAGCAGTCCCAAGAACTATGCAAGGAAATTATATCCAACACAAGTAGCTGATCACCAAAGAGGAAGGTGAGTCAGAACAGACGACATTTTACTAAGCCATAATAGTGTCCTGTTCTAGCAGTAAGATGCTGAAACCTCAGCCCACATTTTCAAAATGGACTCACACACACACAAACTCATACGTGCTCTCATGCATACAAAAAGCATACAAAGAACCTCACAATTAAATCAGACACCCAGTCAAATTATAATCATTGTAGGCGAATAGGAGTTCTTCAAACTACTGAAGAAATAAGCACATCATACATGCCAGAGAAAAATAATGAACTACACACTGAATCACATTCCTAACAAGAGACCATCATGGTGAAACACAAACAATCTGCACCAACCTTTCCCCCACCAGCAAGAACCTCAATGATAAGAGTCTCACCATGCTTCCCATCAACTTCATCTCCAGTCTGCACAACAATAGCATATATGTCAAAATATTCAATTAGTAAATCTTGGATGCAACAAGAAGTGTGACAGGTAAATGCAACAATTGCATAAGTATAAAGTTATGTCCTAAAAAACCGATTCCCTAACCTTTCCATATATTAATAACTTGGCCTCCACCAGTGCCCCATTGATGACAAGGTCAGCTGTTCTCAAAGTTGGTGTTTCAGGTTCTCCAAACTCAGATGCAATATCACTTGTTCCTCCAAGTACATCCAGCGATGGAGGAGCCTTCATAAAGAATGAGTATGAATCAGTAATGAACACCTAAAATATAAACATGCAAAACTAATACTCCATAATAATATTGTTTTCATACAGAAGCTTGATAGGTAGCCTGTATAAGCCCCTTCAACCAACAGGCTTTCTCCTCGTCATCCCGAAACTCTAAAACCCAGGTACTAGAAGATTCCAGTGCCTGAAAAAATAGAAAATAATTAACTCTCATAAAAGACAGCAAATTACCATTTCAGTGCAGAAATTTAAAACCAAATAGAACAGAAGCATTAATCAGGTCTCATACATGTTTCATTTCATTAACTTCATATCCAAAGTTCCATGAACTTGTTCCACAGAAAATTTAGCATTTCAAGAACATATCTATTTACATGTGTGAGAGAAACAGAGGGAATGACTTTGGCTTTATTGGGCTAAAACAAAGATGGAGTTTGAGCCACTGACATAATGTGAACACATGTATGTTGAAATTTAAGAGACCTGGTATATTCTTCTTCTATTGACCAGACTTTCCAACATTTCTTACAAATATATCTTGGTATGATGGTGTCTGCAGTTTGCACATGCATGTCAGTGCAGGTTTGTGCATGGGAGAGAGAGATAGGAGACGTTTAGCTTTCCTGGGGGAAGAATCAAGAGGGAGTTTGGTTCACTGTCATAAGATCCGAGTCTAAGTTAAGAACTATCCTCCCGGTTGACCATGGACTTGCACCTTGTCCCATGTACAAGCCACATGCAACTGTCAAATTATTTTGCTTTGATATGTTGGTTCAGAAATCAATTGATACCAAATTCAACCTAAAACCATAGTTGACACAGCAATAAACATGGACAACACCTACCTACATGAAGATTGGGATGAAATTATATCAAAACACAGCATTAATTTAGAAAAACATGACTTACTTGCTGAATGTCCATTCCCCTGAAACTCACAGCAACACAGAATTGTGAACCACCAACACTTGACGGAGGAACCTCATTTATCTGTCGACCAGCCATGCTGCAGAAATTGAATTTTTATACAAGGGTGTTAAGAACCCCCAGCTCCAAGCACAAAATATTTTAATAAAAGCATCACCAGCAGAAAGCAATTAAACAAAATCAAGGAATAGAGAACCATCATGAAGGGGAAAGACGTCACTTAATAAAACAGAGACTTGATAATTAACATTTTAATGAAACCAAGACTTTAGGAAAGACCAAAAGTACTAAGACTAGAAGATTACCATCAAAGATAAAATCAAAAAGCCATTAACAACCCACAAGAAATATTTGAAAAGGCAAACCTCATGTAACGCTGGTAGCTTTGGGACTTTTGCGATTCCATAACATAAAGATATAGTCTAGATAACACAAGAAAACAAGGTTGCCAATGAGCCACCGAATTGCCAATTCCCTGCACCGATAAAAATGTTATATGAATAGCTAAAATGCTTGGGCCCTATGCCCAACCAGATGAAATACACAAAGGCATACCCTCCAAACAAGGATTCTAGCATCCGTAGCAAGATCTGCAGAACTCCAAGGAGATATCTGGGTTTGAAAATTATCAACTGTCGACTGACCATAGTTGTCAACTGTGTTGTACAATATGTTCACCAATTCCAGAAGTCTAGAATATCTTGCTGGTGAAAAGTGTATGCCAAGATTCGGTACTTGAACAGAAATCCGTGTCGAAGGATAACTTGGGTGGTGTACTTTGATCTTCAATAAACAGATTTGTAGAAAAACAACAAGAGAGAAACTTTTTGCATCAAGGACCATCCACAACCAAACACGGAAAAATGAAATGCAATGTATGTTTAAACAGCAGGTTGACAAGTTCAGGAATCAACAAAATATGGACAGTAAACATAAATGCCAATGTGTAATATGGTCACCTATTACCATTAAGAACAAAATCCAGAGTAACCTCTTTTACATCAAACATGCTAATAGACAATCAAAGAACCAACAAAATGTTATACCTGGTCAACAATTACAGCCATTCCACACCTATCAATTAGAGAATAGTAATTGTCAACTTTTTCTGGTATCTGAGATGTCGATGACTGGCTATTATGATTTGGCATAACCACTGTGGAGTTATGGCAGTAAGAATCACAATCCATAAAGAAAGCAGCAATATCTCTGCCAGATATGTAGAAACGAGAATATATACTCTGCCTCTTTTCATCAGACTTTCTTTCCTGCAACATTAAATATTTATGTCAAGCAAAGCCAAGGTAAAAAATGCTTGAAAAAGGTCACGAAAAGAAGTATACCATGGTGCGTAATGTAAAATGACCAAAATCCAAAAGGAAATGCACATCACATTTGGAAGAACTGACTGCCCTCATAGGAACTGTGACTTTTGGAGCATCCAGATCAATATCAAGGGCAAATCTAGAAAACCAAGCAGATAAAATAATCAACCACATATCATTCGCTTCCCTCTTCAGGGTGAATAAAAAACAGGATGAACAAAATAAAAGGCAACAACATGAAGCCCAAGCTTCTTCTAACCAGTCAAAAGCAACTCCGTCCCATAGACTTGTAAACATCAACATTCAAGCAGAAAGCAATTATTTAAGAAGAAAAAGGTTATTTTTATAGCTAAAAAACTGAGATCATAGGCAAAATATTTTTAGTTTCAACAAGTATAAATTTGTCTCCAAAAAAATGCAAAACGCATTCACCAATGATATGAGTCAATTTTTCAGTTAAATCCTACCCGTACACTTTTTTCCCGTCGCAATACCATAATATGGCTCACCTCACTATCATGATACACAAAATTTTAAGGGACTTTTTTGCACAAGAGAGAATTTTGGAAGCTCAAACTCTTGGTACCAATAAACCAACACCTTGTCACCAATGTATATAAACTAATGTATCCACTTCTACTGCTTACAACTGTTCTACACACATCTGCTGACTCTTCAACATTTTTCACCCTAATAACAAGTCTCAAAGTCATTATCAACCTTCCAATTTATCGACAGCAAGAACAATATTCGATAAACAGGTGTTGAAATCTCAAACATCAGCATGTGCAAAAATAATAATCATACAAGATAATAAAGCAAGAAAAAAAATATTAAAAATAAAATGAGCGTTCTTTGACCTGCTTTGTTCCTCTAATACCATTTGAAATTGTTCTTGTGCTCTTCGAGTCACTTTCTCAAGCTTCATCTACATTTGGCATTGAATGAATAGAGGGTTAATTTACCAACCATGTGGTTTCATATTCAAGGTATTGACAGAGATACCTGCAAAACATTTGCAGTTTCTAATGCAACAGTAGGGCTAACTGCATTGCTTCTCCTCACAAACTCAAAAAAGTGATCAAAACTTTCCATTAAAACCTGCAACCAAATAAGAAAGTATGGCTGGGGCAGTGAAAATTGGTGGGGGAAAAAAGAGTAGAAAAATATGAGAGAACAAGCAAATAGTAAAATGCCACCCCAAGCATATCATATCTCATGCCAAAGGACACTGAGAAGTTCAACTCAACCAAGAAAAAGAGTGGGTAGTGAATATTAGAGGTGAAAAAAGAGGAGAAAAATATGAGAGAACAAGCCAATAGTAAAATGTCACCCTGAGTATATCATATCTCATGCCAAAAGACAGAGATGTCCAACTCAACCATGAAAAAAGTATCCATTACTTAAACATCAAAAATCAATTCAATACATTCTGTTGCCAAAACATCCATTGGGAGTCCTTTAATGCACAACTTGCCAACTAAGTGTATCTATATGATTAATTAAAAAAATATATATATATGAGCTTCAAGTTGTATAAGAGGGGGGTAATCATGAAGAGGCAATCTGAGGGGCACGCAATAGAACATCTCCAAATGTAACTAACAAGACTGGAGGTCTCTAAACCTCTCTTTCTCAAAGAAAATGCATGCTCACAGTTGGTCAACAACATATTCAAAACCCTACATAAACAGTAAGTCACTCGTTATAGGAACAGAGTGGTATAAGTAACAACTAAATGCAATTGCTGCAAGTAAAAGTGACCCTCACTCCCCATCCCTCTCAAACACTAAGAAATTACCGTAACATGGCAAGGTGAAATTGTGGCTGACAATTTCCAGTCAACATTCTCCCCAACTGGAGAATGTACAAAACTGGCAGATAATGCATTCACCTTCTGTTCACTAGATACACTCTGAAAAGAAAATTGCAAAACGTAATTAGAGGGCAAAATCAACCTTTGATCACAGCAACAGCCTTACTCCAAATTAGATCAGAATAAAAATCCATAAACACGCGTCAAAAGACTAGAACAAGAAATTTCATTCAGAAAGATTTCAAAAACTAAAAACATAGATCAATATGAAATGAGGCTCAACGTTTTACATTCATATAAGCTCTTACACATGAAGTTAAACCTTTATCACATACTATCTCAAATCTCAGCACCATAGTGAACAAACCTGTGCAAGAGATCCTTCAGGTGAAGATAAACCATAAAATTTTAAGGACACATCACAGTGGGTACTGCGATTTTTGAATTTCGTTGAAACTTGAAGCTGCTCAAATCTACCACAGACAATCTCAGTCTGATTTATGTCAATTATCCTAGCAGCAGCCTGCTTAACAGATACCGTCACTAAAAACTGAATCATATTCAGCATATCCTTTCCCAAATGCGGCATTAACTCTTCATCAGACTGGTAACTGAGCAAGTTATTAATTGCATGCCATTCTTCTTGAGTCAGCTTTTCTTTTGTCAACTGGGATGCCTCAGAAGCATCCCCATCGAAGACATCTTCAGAATCCGTGCGCCTGCAACAAAGGGTGAATCAAAATACATTGGCAGACATAGAAACAGAAACCACAATCAAATGCCTAAGCAAAAAATAATAAACCACGAGCAAATATAAGTTTCATAAATAATGAACACAAAATGAGAACAGTAGATGACCAGAAAAACCAACCAAAGGCAAAGTAATTTATTTCAATGAACAGGATAAGAAAATAGAGTTGCCACCAACCATCCAAATGAAAACCAGCTTTTCTTTTTTAGCCTCTTCTGTTCAGCAGCTTCCTTTGTTTTTACTGATTCAGCCTTGGCATGTGCAAGTAACCTAAATTATATCAAACCAAATGTAAAATATCAACACAGATGGATACACAAACCAGGTAATCAAAATATGAATTACATTCTCAAATACCATCAGTATTCAGCAAAAGGAGCACCAAACCTATCAAAATGACCAATACTAAATATTTGAAGCAATAACAATCAAATTTTATTAAATAACCAATAAGCAAGTTCTGCATACCTCCACAGAAGAATAACTTTAGAATCAAGATCAATCTCCATTTCTCTAAGTTCTGAGGTGCTAACATTTGATGACTGTTGAAGCATAGCAGCATACAATTGAACATAATGGCGACGAAGCTGACAGAGATGTTGAATGCGGTCCCAAGAGAATCGGTAGCTAAAGCAGGGAAAAACATGAAGCAAGCTTCAGCTTCAGGAATAGAGCATGTAAATTAAAATACGAAAGAAGTGTACAGCTTTTGTCTACATATAAAATGGGCAATAGAATCAGAATATCCAACTTTTTTAGCATATTTTCAATTCGAGGCTCTCTTCTTAAAACAACGAATAAACAGAAAAGTCTGCATTATAACATGTAAGTACCACATTTTTTTCTGCTGCAGAACAGCTTGAGCAGCATAACGCCACCACAAGCAAGGATCCTCCGAAATGGGGATCTCGGGTCTTAAATGGAAAAATTCAACATAAGTCTTGTGTCTTGAAACAACTTCCAAAAGTTTAATCCAATCATGATATTGCACCTGTGAGAGAAACCAAGTTGAACCTGACTTAATAACTCAAAAGTCATGGAAACAAAAGAGATACACTTAAGAATTTTCACCAGATTATGTTTTCTCGGTCCTAGCAGAGCAAAACCCTAAGCTATTGTACTGGAATTAACTAAATGAAAGAAAAAAGCTTTCATCCCCCCCCCCCCCCCAAAAAAAAAAAAAAATCCCAAAGTAAAATGAAAGAGAATAGCATTATAATTCCTCTTGCCCTCCACAACAAAAAACATAGCAAATGATGCTGATGATATAATGCAGAATTGAAGCAACTGGGAAGAAAATTTCTAGCACCTCTGTAATTGTTAATGAGACATCACTTAGGACAAGAGAAGCCTTCTCAAATGGAATCTCTGGATCACCTCTTTCTTGTTTTCCAAGACGATGATATTTAAGGGCTGCATTAATTGGTGACACCAAGTAGTTACGATTCGTAGCCCATTTAGACACCATTCCGCGATCAGTAGAGGGTTCATTTATGCCATCTTCAAATATCTTAAGGGATCAGCCAAAAACATCAAAGAGAAAACAAAATCTTGATAAGTAACTGCTTGATAATGGAGGCTAACATTTCCATATACAACTACCAACCTCAATCCATTCCTCAGGACTTAAATCTTCCCACTTTTTGTGTATCTTCCAAGGGAGGTTATCAGAATCATGATACACAGCGAGCCTCTCAAGCTGCAATGACTGTTAAAGAAAACAAGTGTTAGCCAAAATAATTTGATGGTCATGTAAATACCTGTAGCAGCATAAGCTGAACTTAATAAATAAAAGCAAAGGAATTGTTTTGATCACCATCCAAAGAGATGCAAGCTTCATGAGAAGAAAAATATTAAATAAAAATCAAAGAAAATGTGAATGAAATCTAAGTAGTACAGATCAAAAGATCAATTAAATCAACTCTAAATAGCAATCATAAAAGTCAGATTCTTCCATTATGTAGAGGAAGTCACCATCTCACCATTTTGAATAATAAATTTTTTCCTATCCACATCATCAAAGATACCATACAACTAAACTCAACTAATAGTACACTTGATTTAAGGGGAAGGAGCTGGATTTTCCCGTCTTTCCCTTGTTTGGTTACTTGAAGGGAAAGAAGAGAATTCACAAGATTACCAACGCCCTGCACCTATGGGGCAACGGATGGGAGTTAAAGTTTACCACCAAGTATTTTGTTATGATTCATTTCTTCTTTCTACTTTTTTCCCTCAAAAGGCACAACTTAAAAATATTTTATTTTTCTTCCTCTCTCTTACCATTAACAATTCCTACTAATTGTCTTTCCCCAGCCACTAACAATATAGAAATTTAATTTGCTACCATCCTTAACGAGTTTTTATCCCCTTAACAACTGCTCTTATACCAATCTAGCTTTAATTTTAACCTTAAAACAAGTTCAATTGAAGCCTTGAGAAAAGTGGCAAAAACTGGTTGGGTGGTTATGTAAATCCTCTCTTTATATCTACTGCTGCGTAACAAAAGACATATCAGTAACAAAAGTGCGAGTGCAAACATGGATTAGGCAAATTCTGTAAATACACATCTTTTCTCACAGCATTCCATAAGAGGTAACATTATATCAAATTATTCTCACTGCATTAAAGGTTCGAATGCTAAGTGCTGCTTTACACACATCCATTTCAGCAAAAGAGCACAATCAGTAGAAAGACATACTAACCTTCCGCAACCGATCCAAAGCACCACTAGTATCAAATGTTTCATTGCCCTGCTCATCTGTTGTGACAGCTGCCAGCTTAGCTAGGGTAACACCACAAGAAAATGGATGCCCCGGATTACTGCAATGTCATTCATTGGTTCTCAAATAAACAAGAGGCAACCGCAATGTAAGACAATAAAGTAGAAAGCATGAACTCATGCATGGAACAGTGACACTAGAAACTAAATTAGCATGTGGAATAGTATATAAATACACAGAATATAACACCTACAAAGAAATCAATGATAAAGTTCTCAACCAACCTGACTGAATCCTCGTATCTGATATGTACATTACTGATTGAAATCTTAAGATTTCCAATAATAGTGCCAATCAGAGAACCCAGCCATGAATTTCCTGGAGGAGGCTGCAAAAGAATCAGATATCAACCAAATTTCCTTACCATGCTGAAGTTTTCGCATCTTTTTATAATACATAAACATGCACATGCTATATGTATATCAATTTCAAAGAACTATCAGCAATTTAGCAAAACTAAAGAGTTTTCTATCCATACTCTTCAAAGCCTAATATGTTCAAAACAGCTAGTGTAGAAATACTAGCAGGGGACAAAATGTCCCCAAATAGCAATAAAAATAAAGCTTTTCATAACCCATGGACATATGATCAGAACAAAGACTGCAAAAAAGTATTTGCAAGCCTAATCCAGTATAAGGAAAGGTTTATGCAGCAAGCAATTTTAACATGATGAAAAGGAGAAAGAAACTTAAGTCCATACACTTCCAAGCTTTGACCTAGTTGCTTCAAGAGTTGCAGATTCTGCTTCCTACACAGAGAGAGAAGAAAATTGTAGTTAGTTTGCTAGAGAACAAAGCTCCAAGTTTTCTCCCTTTACACAATGGAAATCAAGTGCATTTGAAAAATACATTCAAACACAAAAGCATTTGATATTTTAAAAACTATTTAGGCATGTCACAGAGATGAGCAAAATTTTTGGTGATTAGCATGTGTCTGGAGCGCAAGTGCAAGAGAAATCATTTGGGGAAAAAAAAAGCAACATGCCAATTAACTAGTGATGCAACGGAAAGGCAGTATGAGAAAAATTGGGGTAAAGTTGTGATGACTCATGATCAAATGGGGGAACCAGTCTGATGGATGCATAAAGCTCGCACAAGAAAGCATGTTGCAGAGGGAGGAAACATTTGTTACAACCATAATGCAGTTAAATGATTAAATGTATCATCAATTAGAAAGGCAACCAAATTAAGAGACAAATTAGTGCACTGGAAAACATATATGAGCTTCCACCTCAATCTGTTGAAGTTTAATTTCAAAAAGTTTTCTCCGGTCCTCCTCCTACATGAACAATGAAACAAGCAAAAATCAGAACCAAAGAAAAAAAGATTTATGGTCAAATAATCCAATAATGATAATACGTCAACAAGAGAGCATTCTACCTTGAGAGTCCGACCATCAGGAGCAGGCTGAGCAAGAATGAAGACACGGTCGATGAGAACAAGCACTGGTTCTTTTCCTAAACTTTTCCAGGGGACCTGTAAGTTAAGGAAGATAAAAGGGAGTAACGAATGAAAGCCAAAAATTAGGGCATGAGCATCATTTTGGAATGGAGAAGCTTATAACAAAACCAGAAATATAGTTCTAATATTAAAACTTTCAATATATAGTAGATAAACTTATGAACTTGAGGATTCCAATCAAATTCAAGTTTTAGTTCCCTCATCATTCTAATACAAACAAACAACTAAGCTCTATCACAAATTAGTTGGCTCGGCTATAGGGATCCCTTTGCGCCATTCTACTTGCTCCGAAAACTAGTTCCCTCATCATTCTAATGTATTGTAGAATTTCTACTTGGTTCCAAAAATTGATTTCCTTTCCACAGAAGCCAAATATAACCATACAAAGCCAGGAGCCAGCTTAGTCGTGAAGCAAGTCACAAGGGCAATCAACCAGAATTCTAAAGGGCCAATTTTATTTTTCTCCTTTACTCTGATTGGTAAGATTTGACCTGCGTTCTATCCAACCACCCTTTTAGCATGCAAATAAGGCCAAGAGCCTTCACATGACGATATAGATCACAAATTTACTTTCTACGTATTTTATTACCATGTCTTGACTGCTCGATAGCCACAGGTCCTCCCCCACCCAAAAGGACCAAAAAAAAAAAAAACAGAGGCTATTTGTCATGTAGAAAGCAGTCAGACAACCCTTTGATCTTTATTAAAATAAAAATACACGTCTTACCTGTAAATAAAAGTTCAAAAAAACAAAAGGATGAAGAAGAATCCAGCAACGGTTAAGAAATGAAGTTTGTTATTAGGCAATGCTAAACTATACAAACCAGGAACAAATCAAAATCCAAAACTCAGCCAGCTGGCTGTAGGTGACAACATTTGCTACCTTTAATGTAATAGTACCAACAAAACCAGCTTTGGCAGTGATTGGAAGTTTTAGCAAATTTAGTGCCTCAGCCTTCAAATTCAAATCTTTAAGGACAACATCGCCTGCAAAAATAGAAGTGGTCAAAAAAGAATATTGAAAAAGCAAATAAATAAATAAGAGAAAAAAGAAACATAATATCCAACAACACATTTTCGCATCCAAGGGTCATTTCACTGATTAATATTACATTCATCAACCTATCATTCAAAATATAGTAAACTTAACTCAAAGAATTAGGAACTGAGTACCTAAGATCAGCAAGATCACAAATCACAAAGATTGGAGGACAAACCTTTCCAGACACTTATTCTCAAAGCCTCCACCGACAGCCCATGGACATATTCGCCCAGATATCTTCGAAGCAGATGCAAGACCTACAGACAAAAATAAATAATTAAAGTAGCCTGCATGCTTCGAAAACAACATAGTTAAGGAGCATTTTCCCCTTCAAACACCAAAACGGTAATTTAAACTAACCGCTACCATTTCACTCAAAAGATTACCTAACCAAGCATATTATTTCGTTGACATAAAATTCAGGGAAAAAAAAAACTAACAATGACCTAAAGACAATGTCACCATATACTTAAATGCTATTAAATTTTAACCTTCACTGCCCTAATCACTTGCAATCATCACAAAAATCAATAACCAATTTTACTCGAAAGTAAATTTAACGAATAAAACATCACACTAAGAAGTTATTAATCATCCTAACCAGATTTCAGCAATATACACTAACCTTACTTATCTACTCCCTGATTTTATAAGATAAATGAAAGCTGTAATTAACGAAGAACAAAACAGAGAGAGGGGAGAGGTAGCATACGTGAGCTTCAAACATAGTGAGTGATCAAATTTGATGCCAAATTTTTAACAAATTGAAGATGATCGAGGTGGAATAATCGTCATTGAAGATGCAGATAAGAATGTAGATTTTGAATTTCTTGTAGGGTTAAAGAAACCCTAATATTGATTTTGATCTCTATAGCAAGAGAGAGCAAGAGAAATGGACGGTTTGAAGAAAGAAATAAAAAGTGCAAAGAGCGGAGGACTGGAAAATGATGCACAGGTGTCTCTCTTGGCTCATTTTGCAAGTATTGGACTCGGACAAGGTGCTCATTCCGTGCATACAAAAATCGGCTAAGCCGGTATTTTCACCCTGTATTTTCATAAATCCTTCAAATAAGTTCGTATGTTTCTAAATTAATCAATTCACCATGTGTATTTTCAGATTCGGTCATCTAAGTATAATTTTGCAAAATTGATAGATGTACGTATAAATATCAGGTGTGTATCCTACTTTATATGGTTATATTATTTTTTATTCGAATTAAATTGTAAAAATTATTGATTTTGCAAAATTATATCAAATTAAGTGAAATTAAAAATATATGCGTTCAATTAACCAAATTAAAAAGATAATGACTTATTTGATAGATTTTAAAAAAATATAAGGTGCAAATAATGGGTTTAGACAAAACAATCATTGCAAAATTTAAAATTCTGAATGTGGTGATTTTTTTTACTAGATGTTTTACACGCTCTATGCTTGTTGGTTAAATAAAATATATAAAATTATTTTAAAAAATTATTTTATTTTAATATCTCATATTATATTATGTATTTATCAAAATATATCAAATTTTGTATTCGATTGATTATGTTTTATATTTTTCATAAATTGTTTATCAAAAAAATTATTTAATTAGTATAGAGAATGTCAAAACGAGATGAATTCTTAACTAAAATTTTATTTTGTAATGTTTTTTAAACATTTTTATGCCTAAAAAATTTTTATTAAAAAACGAGAGAAAAAAAGATCAAAGTGACAAAAATAAACAAAAAAGAAGGATCGAAATCAAATAAAAAATATTTTACGGATTGAAAAAATTATATTTCAAAAAAAGGAACCAAAGTGTACTCGTTAGGAAAACTTTCATGATAAATATATTAAAATGTTTGAAAATTACAAAAATGTTATTACATAATAAAAGGAATAGTGCATTCGATTAAATAGTATTTCAAATAGTGATGAATAGTAAAACTAATGGTTTTGCTTTAATTTTATTTATAATTTATAATTTCATGACTTAGGATATTTTTCAATTGGTTGCTGAATCAAGTCTCTATAACGAGATTTTAGATAAATATATTCTCGTAATTCTTTTTAACCCTGACTTCCCCTTGGACTCTTTTCCAAAATAAGAACGTGAGTGACATGAACTTAATGACTATCTCAATTAAAAAAAGAGTATTAGAAACTTCATTTTACTATTTAATTTGATCTAGGTTAAATGAAAAAAAAATCTATAAATTAAATCAAAGATAACTTTTTCCCCCTTAGTAATGGATGACATTTTTTTTATCACATTTCATGGAGCATATAAAATTTGGGTTAGAGTTTTGTCTTCTATAAAAATACGTCGATATTTATTTACAATGCTAGTGTATTATTATGCAAAAAAGTTATAATATTTAAATATATTTGTTATGTTGCAGTTTAAAAGCATATTTGTTTTTCCCCTTTTTAGTTTAACAACTTTGCTCGATCAAACTTTGTTTTGTTTTGAAAACAAATTATGTGACATATTAAAAAAATATATCTTATTTTGAAATTAAAATAAGTACTCCTGACGTTGATCAAAAGCAAAACAATTTATACATGATCTACTATAAACTAATCACTAAACATTATTTTACCAATGCTACTTTTATTTTGCAATGTAACTGAGTGTAGTATAGTAGTTAAGACATGACGCGACAATACCAGACAACATCATTAACAAGCCATCATCTGTCTTTTTGTTTTTATATTTTCCTCTTGTTTGTCAAATAAAAAAAAAAAGGTTTTTTTGAAGAAGAAAAGAACAAAGCAGTATATCATGGCAAACACTATAAAGACACACAACAATTAATCATGATTGTTGTGTATATCTCAAACACAATAAACGTATGAAAAATGAATTTTCAACAATGATATTTTCAAACTAACTTTTGCATATCAAAAACAAAATTCAATTTCCATTAAGTTTTACCACACACTCAAAGCAATACGTTCGCAATATAGTATTTTTTATAGTTTCAAACCCAAAACAATAAGTTGAAAGTAGACCTCCAAGAATTGTTTTTAATTATTTCTTATATGGAGAAAAAAAATGTATTATTGTTATTTTTTTCAAAAGACAATGAAAAATATCGTTTGAAAACTTTTCAACAACTAGTGCTTTGAAATCCATATCCACTTGAGAGCAAAAAAAGGAATGATTTTTTTGGCATTTGTTGTATATTATTTAACACCAAACCATTTTAATAATATATGATCAAATATTTTTAACAATCGTAGCTACAATAGCAACAAACATTCATTGTATGGTTTTTTTTTTTTAGTTTCTTTCTAGATACGAAATAGATACATGTCGAATGGGAGTTTTATATCTTCAGCAAAGTTGTATCCCCATTTCTCATCTTTCCAACGCATCAATCCTTGCATCAAACAATGGGCTAAAACTTGAGTTATAGGCTAAAAATTGCAATTGTCTCAACTATTCCACCCATACTTAGAAATTCAACTTTGCAGCCTAAATTCTTCTTTCAAACCAACCTAATTTGGACTTTGGCCTTTCATAAAAATTGTAGATATGATTCTATACTCTTCCACGGACTTGGGATCGCATCAATTGATGGTCTAAAACTTCAAATATTAAATAAGACTTGCAACTAGTTTGCAACTCTAAATAAGATTTGGATTAGTTTTTCAAACTACATTATGAAACAATGTGTGTAGGTCCAAACAAAATTGGATAATGGTTCAAGAAAGGTTACTTGTATTGACTTCAAGAATGGTCAACTCGTATTAATTTATGGTTCAAAAAGATCACCCGCATTGGACTTATGATTTAAGGAAGTTCATCCACGTTTGACCGATGACTTAGGAAAAGTCAACCATCAATTCATTTTATTTTATGATTTCTTTAAATGATTTTGTTTTAAATGTGTTTTTTCTTTCTTTCTTTTCTTTCTAAGATTACTATGCAAAGTCAAAGAAAAAAAATTTTCAACGACTTTGCATCATAAACATCATATAAAAAAAGATTTTGTATATCACTTGGGGAGAGCCAACCAATAATTGACCTCATTTTATGATTCTTTAAATTATTTTGTTTTAAATATGTTTTTTGTTTCTTTTTTTTTTCCTAAGCTTACCATCCAAAGTTAAAGAAAATGGTTTTTACTAATTTTTTGTCGCACACGTCATAAAGAGGAGACAATTGTCATTATCCGATCTTAATCCTAATATTTTTATAAGTTCTTCAAAAAAAAATCCAAAATGTCAAAAATTAAACCATTTTCTCAATTTATCTAATTTTTCAAAATTTAAGCCTTCTTTCCCGAGTTTTATGATTTTCTTAAATATTGAAAAAATCACCAAGCATAAAAAAGAGTGAAGAAAAGTTAGTGTATAGAAAAATATGAAACTAAATAAATTAAAAAATTTTAAATAGAAAAACAGATTAACATTTTTTAGACTATTATACTCCGATTTAGTCTAACCTTTATTAATTTTTTTAAGTTTAATCTAATTTAACTTAGGGATTAATCAATTGGTTAGTCGCATAAGATATCTTTATACTCTTTTGACTTTTGTAATATGACTCTTAGGTATTTTTTTTATTCAAATCCTCCCTCTACACTTTAATTTTTTGTAATTGGTATGTCCGACCTTTTTTTTATCAATTTTCTAATAAAAAATGACATTTGACAAAAAAATGCTTAATGGCAGTATGTGATAGGTCAAATTTTTCTTGCCACGTGGAAACAAAATACCAAAAAATGATTGAACGTAGCAACAAAACATAAATAACCATTCTTCTTCTTGTCTACTTTTGTTCCCACCACTATCTCAATCATGCTCTTTACCATCACAACCACCACCCCATCCTCATGGCATTATCCATCTTTGTTATGCCTTTGTGACCACCATCTCAACCTCTATTCTCCCATTTTTTCATACCTTTAAAATCATGTATCTTCTTTATACATTCCTACTCTTTTTCACCCTCTATTATAGCCACATGCCCAAATCTCTCTTGATTTTCCACCACTACCAATTAGGTATTAATGATGTGAATTGGGTATATTGTATTTTGGAGTTAAATTTTATGTTCGGGATTTAATTAATTATGTTAATTGGTTACCGTGTATTTTAAGTGTTAGCAAATTATTTATTTGATATTTTCTAGAGATGTTTAGTGTAAACTACTAAGTAGAGTTGGGATTGAACTTTGGATTACTAAGATTAGTAGTATTATGGGTTTCGTTTTCTTTTTGGGTTTTGATGTTTTCCTCTTGAAAATAGAAAAAAGTTAGTTTTTAGGTGTTTATTTCTAGATTTTTTTAACTAAATGTAATAGTTTTATTTTGGTATTGTAACAATGTGAATTTGGTGAAACTACTAAATACTTGATGATTATATCACATGGTGA